AACATCTCGTAATTCTGAAAACGTATGTTATAAAAATGACATGGTATGTCATAATTAAGAGATAGAACATCTCATTATTACGAGAAAGTGTTTCACAAAAATGTGATGTCAGAATTAAGAGAAAAAGCAAAATTACAAGAAAATATTTCATCATTATGAAATGTCAAAGATCTCATTTCTGGGAAATAAATTAATCCAGTAATACCTGTTGACTACCAAAGAGGCTAGACACTGTTTTTGACTTGACTCAATTGCGCAGTCACTAATAATCTCATGCTGTAGGCCTTATTTTTTATACTGCTTGTCAGCAATACGCCACTGTACATGAGCTCATCCAGTTTAAAATGAGCAAAGGCAAATATTTTAGCATCGCACAAAAATTGCAAAACTAATACAGCCTAGAAATAAATCAGTTACTGCAAAGCCAAAGATTTCTACTGTACAATGAAAACCAGGCACCACCCTTCATTCATTTCCCATCAGATCAGCCACTGAGTACAACTTATTCATTTTTCAGCATCAGGAAAAAATTAGAAAAACAACATCTAACTCTACTCTCTGTTCAGTTCCTCCTCAAAGAATCTGCAGACACGCCTCCAAAGTTCAGTCTTAGAAGCTGGTTGATCGTTTTCTGAAGTAATCAAACACATTCAGTGGTGTTGAGGTCTGGACTCTGGGGTGGTCAGTCCATCGTTCAGCTTCTTTGTTTGATGTGTCCGTCTCCTTTTCTCAGTGAGGTTCTTCTTGGCAGCTACATGTCCTTTCAGACCCACAGCGCTGAGTCGTCTTCTCACAGTGGAAGGATGGACAGAAACACCTGTGGATGTTTTCAGATCTGAAGCAGCTTGATTTTCTCCTCTCTCTCAGAGATGAAAGCTTTAAGTGCTGTTTATCTGATGGGGGCAGGTTTGGTGTCTACCAGGTCTTCCAGGTGGTTGTTAGGAGCCCCATTTTCTCTGTAGCTTTTAATCAGATTTTAAACTCCAGTTTTGGAAACTCCTGTTTTTTCACTTCTGCTTTCTCTCAGAAAAATCTCCTGAAAAATGGTGGTCTTGAACTGAATGGCTGTTGTGAGTGGATGATGAAGGGTGGTCTCTGATTTCAGCACAGTGCTCTAACTGTGTGGTTTAGAACGGGGAGTTTACTCCAGGTTTACTGATATATTTCATATATTTTGATCTCCCCCACATTGTTTGAGTATCAGATGGACCTGTTGCTGTGAGACTGTTCACTGGAGCATTTGATTGGCAGATCGGTGTCCCGCGGCTGCTGCGGCGTTGCCATGGCAACGGAGCGAACGCCAGCCAACCAGGAGACACGACTTGGCCATCAGAGAGGAAATCACACACCGGGGAGCATGTCTGTCTGTGTGTGAGTGTGTGTGTGTCTGTGTCTGTGTCTGTGTGTGTGTGTGTGTGTGCATGATCTTTCATCTGGAAATCAATTAAACACACACACACACACAGCAGGGTTTTATCTGAGAAGGGATTCCCCTGAAATATACACTCACTGATCACACATAAACACAGGGAACTCCTATTTATTTATTTATTTATTTACTAATTAATTTTCAACATATTTTAAATTATTTGAATTATTTATTTATTCACTTATTCATTTATTCTTTCACCGATTTGTTTATTTATTCAGTTATTCATCCATTCATTCATCACTCATTCATTCTCATTCAATTTTCTGATTAAATCATTTAATCACAAGTTAACAATCCAGTAATTCTATAAATTATATTAATCATTCACACGTTTATCCATTTAGTAAAATCATATTCATTCATTCATTTATATTCATTTATATATATTCATGCATTAATTCTATATAAATAATAACCAAATAGTATGATGCTTATTTTTGTGTATCAATTTATTACTAACCTTTCATTTAACACCTTTTTAATCACAATGTTTGTTATTATTATAATTTTTTTTTAATAGGCAGATAGAGGAGTAAATGAGTTCATGTGTAAAAGCTGCTCATCATATTATTATCAGCGGTAATTATATGTGTGTAGACGTAAATACTTTCTTATCACACACCACCCACTGCAGCACCACATCACAGATACAGCACAGACCCACAGACACATCCAACATACAACATTCAATACACATATACAGTTCAGCCAATCATAATCAGTTTATCAATTACATCAATGGCCATAAATCCTCCTTGACATTTGCGTTTCTGCAGTTCATTTGAAACCCAAATTAAAGAGGAATTCCACCTTTTCATTGTAGAGAAACACAAACATAGACATTTTATTTACCATCCAGAACCACCAGTGAACCTACACGAGTCTTCTGAGTTTATATGGAGTGATGAGGATGGAAAATAGTGGAAAATCTGAAATAATATGGTTTCATCATAGTACTGAGACAGTTTTCATCCATGTCCTTAATTATCTGCTCCTATCCTCTGACTCTGGCCGTGCATCTGCCTTGCTTCTGCTTAACGTTACTGCAGCCATTCATATTGTTAATCATACCCATTTCACAACTTTCCACTACTGGCCTCTCTGGCACTGTGTTATCTTGGTTCACATCCTATTTGACAGATTGGTCTCATTTTGTTACTGTTGGGAGGCAAATCAATTACTGCTCCAGTTATTCAGGGAGTTCCCCAAGGTATCTGTTCTAGGTCCCCTGTCATTTATTACCTATATACTGCCCCTTGGAAGCATCATCCGTTCCCTTGGCCTCAGTCTGCATTGCTATGCTGTAGACAACCATATCAGACCAACAGAATCATTCCCACCATCTTCACTGTTGTCATGTATTCAGGAGTGAACACATTGGCTGAACTCCAACTTTTTCAAGCTAAATGCTAAAAAACGAAATTGTAGGTACCAATTCAGCCATCTCAGCCTATCCAGACTGAATTCCTGTTGTTGATGATACTCCAGTCAGCTCATCCTCTATTGCTCGAAACCTTGGTGTCCTGTTTAACCCAAGTCTCACCTTTGTTCACATGATGAATCTCTGACTGTCTGCATTCTTCCGTCTTCACAGTATCGCTAGACTTCGCCCTACGCTTACCTCTAAACATGCTGAAATCCTGGAGCCACTATTACATCAAGGTTCTCTGGTTTACCATCTAAACCTCTTCATTCTCTTCAGTTACAGAACACGTCCGCTACCAAATCCTGCTGTTAACCTTTAAAGCCTTGCGTGGCCGTCAACCTACTTATCTTTGCTTTTTTCTGCATCCTCATGCCCCATCGTGCAAGCTGAGGTCCTCCATTTCTGGTCTTCTAGCTGTTCCTAGGTTCAGGCTTTCCACTAAGGAGGGAGATCAGTGTATTGTTGCCCCCACCCTCTAGAAATCCTTACTTTAGAGGGCGGCGCTGAGCGACGTTTGTTTGTTTGATGTTTGTTAATGACTCCTTTAGAGGGCGGCACTTAGCGACGTTTGTTTGTTTGATGTTTGTTGCTGACGCCTTTAGAGGGCGGCACTTAGCGATGTTTGTTTGTTTGATGTTTGTTGCTGACGCCTTTAGAGGGCGGCGCTGAGCGACGTTTGTTTGTTTGATGTTTGTTAATGATGCCTTTAGAGGGCGGCGCTGAGCGACGTTTGTTTGTTTGATGGTTGTTAATGACGCCTTTAGAGGGCGGCGCTGAGCGACGTTTGTTTATTTGATGGTTGTTAATGACGCCTTTAGAGGGCGGCGTTGAGCGACGTTTGTTTGTTCGATGGTTGTTAATGACGCCTTTAGAGGGTGGCGCTGAGCGACGTTTGTTTATTTGATGGTTGTTAATGACGCCTTTAGAGGGCGGCACTTAGCGATGTTTGATGTTTGTTGCTGACGCCCTTAGAGGGCGGCGCTGAGCGACGTTTGTTTGTTTGATGTTTGTTAATGACGCCTTTAGAGGGCGGCGCTGAGCGACGTTTGTTTGTTTGATGTTTGTTAATGACGCCTTTAGAGGGCGGCGCTGAGCGACGTTTGTTTGTTTGATGGTTGTTCATGACGCCTTTAGAGGGCGGCGCTGAGCGACGTTTGTTTATTCGATGGTTGTTAATGGCGCCTTTAGAGGGCGCCGCTGAGCGACGTTTGTTTATTCGATGGTTGTTAATGACGCCTTTAGAGGGTGGCGCTGAGCGACGTTTGTTTATTTGATGGTTGTTAATGACGCCTTTAGAGGGCGGCACTTAGCGATGTTTGATGTTTGTTGCTGACGCCCTTAGAGGGCGGCGCTGAGTGACGTTTGTTTGTTTGATGTTTGTTAATGACGCCCTTAGAGGGCGGCGCTGAGCGACGTTTGTTTGTTTGATGTTTGTTAATGACGCCTTTAGAGGGCGGCGCTGAGCGACGTTTGTTTGTTTGATGGTTGTTCATGACGCCTTTAGAGGGCGGCGCTGAGCGACGTTTGTTTATTCGATGGTTGTTAATGGCGCCTTTAGAGGGCGCCGCTGAGCGACGTTTGTTTGTTTGATGTGTGTTAATGACGCCTTTAGAGGGCAGCACTGTGCGACGTTTCTTTATTCGATGGTTGTTAATGACGCCTTTAGGGGGCGGCGCTGAGCGATGTTTGTTTATTAGATGTTTGTTAATGACGCCTTTAGAGGGCGGCGCTGTGCGACGTTTCTTTATTCGATGGTTGTTAATGACGCCTTTAGGGGGCGGCGCTGAGCGATGTTTGTTTATTAGATGTTTGTTAATGACGCCTTTAGGGGGCGGCGCTGAGCGATGTTTGTTTATTAGATGTTTGTTAATGACGCCTTTAGAGGGCGGCGCTGAGCGATGTTTAATGAATAAACATTGAATAAACAAACGTTACTCACTTCTCTCAGGTGAGAATAAAGTCACTGAGCATTACATTACCACAAAGTGCACTAGAAAGGAAAGTAATGATATTATGATGTGTGAATTGCGATGTTTTAAATTATCACTTTATAAAGACTTTATAATCTCTCAGTTGTGGGACTAATAAAGGATTATCTTATGTTATAAATGTAAACACAGTTTAGGTTGAGGTTATACATACGCTGATGATCTTCTCGGAGGTGCCAGGTCGTGCCAGGGTTTGGTTGAGTCCCACCAGTGAGGGCAGCGTCTGGGACATCCAGTTGGTGACCATGGCCATGGTGCTAAGGACCATGCCAATCTTCAGTATGGGAACGCTCATCACGAGACACTAGGGCGACGCAGAAGCAATGCAATCTCAATGAATTAGTTACGTACGACTAATGAAGGAACCACAGCAACTGTCAGTGTAGTAATCATGTAGAACCAACGACAGAACGACAGCAGTTGTTAATTTAGTGCAAATGTAGAACCAATGAAGGAATGACAGCAATTGTCAATGTAGTAATAACGTAGAACCAACAACAGAACAGCAACTGTCAGTGTAGTAATAACGTAGAACCAACAACAGAACAGCAACTGTCAGTGTAGTAATAACGTAGAACCAATGACAGAACGACAGCAGGTGTTAATTCAGTACTAATGTAGAACCAATGAAGGGGCGTCAGTAATTGTCAATGGAGTAATAACGTAGAACCAACGTACGAATGTCAGCAATTGTCAATTTAGTAATGTAGAGCTAATGAAAGAACGCCAGTAATTGCGAATGTAATAGTAATGTAGAACCTTCAAAGGAACGTCAGCAATTGTCAATCTAGTAATAATGTAGACCCAACGAAGGAACGACAGCAATTTCCAATGCTGTAACAGCATAGAACCAACAAAGGAACGTCAGCAATTGTCAAACTAGTAATAACGTAGAACCAACGAAGGAACGTCAGCAATTGTCAATCTAGTAATAATTTAGTGACAATGAAGGGACAACAGCAATTGCCAATGTTGTAGTAGCATAGAACCAATGAATGAACGCCAGTAGTGTATATACTAAAGTAAGTCTGACATCAATTTGGGACAACTTTGGTAGAATGTAGTGACAAACGCCAGCCAGTCAGTAATACTGTAGAAACAACAGAACCCATAAAATGCTGGAAAATCACTCTGAAATGCACCGCTATTCTAGGAACAATCCGGGAATAATCTTGAATTCCAACAATTCACTTCCAATGTTGGTAAAAGTCCAGGAACGTCTAGAACACTACGCTCAACGCCGCTGTGAGCTCTCGGAGTTTCGTGGAGAACCCTTTCTCCAATGCCCTCCGTTAAAGAAAGTTGAAAATGTCAACAAGAGGGAACGCAGACAATCCAACATCGGAAAACTGACAAAGTTACTGAAAATACTGATTATTTCCACCCGAAAATGAAAAAAGACCTTCTCAGCCCAAAAAACCAGAGCAGAACAATTCGCAAAGCATCTGAGAACTTCCTCCCAACTGAGGGTGAATCTGCTCAGCAGCTCCTGCTCCGAACAGGCACTGCAGCAACAGCCTGAGAGAGAGAAGGAGAGAGAGAGAGAGAGAGAGAGAGAGAGAGAGAGAGAGAGAGAGAGAGAGGATGGGGGTGTTGATTGATTGGATGGACAGAGAAAAGCAGAGATGGAAATCCAGTGGAAAGAGAGAAAACAGGCGGATGAATGATGCAGTGGGGAAAAAGAGCTGCTGCACCAGTTTGTTTTGCAGAGAACAAGTGTGTTCTCTCTCTCTCTCTCTCTCTCTCTCTCTCTCTCTCTCTCTTTCTCTCTCTCTCTCTCTCTCTCTCTCCTCCCTCCCTCGCTCTCTGTTTTCTGGCTGGTGAGATCAGACGGTGCTCTGTGTTCTCCTGCTGAGACGCCGCCGTGTGGACAGGAGGAGAACCGCACTTTATTTTTCTGAAGCTAATGTCACTGTTGGGAGAGAAATGGAAGGATGGTTCACTGCTGTTCAGTCACTGATGTGTACAGTTGTTTGTCTGTTCTTCTGTCCATCCATTTGTCTGGTTGTCACTACAGGTTTATGGATGGGGGGCTAAGCCTGTACTGGGGGGAAGTCTGGAGGGCCTAGACCCCCAGGAGAATCTTTTAATGGCCCCAAAATGTCTTCTAATCATGAACCTTTAGAGCAGCAACAGCCAGAAGATGTATTTAAAAAGTCTCTTTGGTCAAATTGGACACAGTGGATCTAACTGTAGTCTGTATTTAGCCCAGAGCTAATATGACTTAAACACTATAATCATCCACTTACAACAGACAGATTAAGCCAATGTCCTGAAGTCCAGCAGTGCTGTCTCCTCTCTTAGATCAGCTGTAGGGCTCTAAATATGGCATTCAAATACAGATTATAGACCAGTTCAGAGTGTGATTTTACTCTGTAGCCATGTTTAATAAGCTCTGAATTTCATGTTGATAGTGATGACATTTATAATATGACATATTCTTACTTAAATTCAGTTAAATTCAGTATTAATTTGAACTGAAATCTTAAACAACTCTCCCTTGCTTTCTTCTTCTTGATCACTAACCTCCATCAGATCCTCAGCCCTTTTTTGTTTTTGTTTTAACAGGGAGAAATCTTCCTATCTGACCGGCCTCCAACCAAGCTGCTGCCTCTTAAAGACCTAAGACCTTTTTTTCCATGAACAGCTGAAATGCTCTGCTCTGTAATAATAAAATATTCCAGCCTTGTTTAAAATATGATCACATCTTTCCAAACTGTAAAAATATCATTTGTATCGTGGTCAGTTCCGCCTCTGCAGCGACCCCTCTGGTTCAACTCAGCTATAGGTGTGGATGACGTCTTTGTACCGAAGCACCATGACACGTCACGGTATGCACATCAGTCAAACGACATTACCGCCCCCTGATGACACCCTACTCGCGCTGCGCTCATAAATATGAAAGCATGGGAGCTCAGAGTGAGGAGAGAACCACACTCACACACTGAGCTAAACACCCCCAGCACCACCTCATAAGGCTGCAATATGCCAGCTGTAAATAACCCAGTTAATCTGAGCTTAGTTTGTAATAAAGATGGTGGACAGATTAAGTGAGGATTCTTGTGAGTCTCCATAAAGCTGCTGGTGTTGCATCCGATTCACGTTTCCCTTCACAACTCAAACCCTCGGGCGCGACTCACTGAACAGACATCAACGGTAAGCAACACTGGATCTAAACGGAAAGCGAAACGGTTCAGGAAAGGTTAACGTTAAATGGCCATTGTTACCGACTGTGTCAACCTTTCGTCCATTCAGCCTTTCTCTGACTTTTTTTCCCTCTTTCCGTAGTTCCAGTGCTGCTTGCCATTGATTTCTGTTCAGTGAGTTCGCCAACAGAGGGTTTGTTTTATACAGGGAATGTGAATTTGAGAGGGAACTGAATCGGATGTAACTGGTAAGTGCCATGAACAGCTTGCAGAACGTAAAAATTTAGGGCCACTGCAGCAAACCCTGGCTGACCGGTGATGCAGTCTGCGACCTTGATGTCAAACTGAAAGAAAGTTAGACAGAGTTCAAAGAAGTCCACTTTATTCATTCGGAATTCAGCATCTAAGAAATCAGGACTCGGGTTATATTGGAATATGGACCTGCTGAACAGATCATTAGAAGCTGCCTGTCATGGTTTTAGGGAATGTTCTACCATTCGGCGCCTCTGTCGCTCGCTGCTAATCCTAGTCCTATGTTAACTCTTCGGTGTTAAGGCTCCAGATGCACTGTCTGATCAGAAACACCTTCCCTTAGCAAATATGGGGATGGTAGTAGAGAAAAATCGTCAACCTCGTAAGACTCTCAGCTGCAAAAGTGCTGTTTGATTCTGTCTCTCTCCATATTTTCTGGTATCTCACGTATGCTAGATCTAAAAACACAGCAGCCCAGCCCATCTGGTTTCCCTCGCAGCGCCACCTCCAAACCCAAACATCACAGCAGTGCCCCGCCCATTTTTGAGGATTTTTAAAAGTTGACCCAGGGGTGGAGTCAGCTGAATATAGTGGGGTGTAGTTACTCTTTATTGTCCATCTACAGGTTGAGAAATTGAGGGACATAAAATTGCATTATAATCAATATGACCTTTTAACTGACGCTAACTTACTGTAAACAACAATATGTGATAAATACTGGTGTAAATGCTTCCAACGTAACTGCAAATAAATGTAAAAACAAAGAATATAAAGAGCTGTGAGTATTTAGTAAGTTTTTCTGTTCACACTCTCACTATGATGTTTCTTCAAATTCTTAAACTAGTTGGCTTGTCAGCTAACTTAGCTAATGTTAGCGTTAGCCTAGCCCCTTTACCTCATGTCAACTTGAAGTTAGCTAGTCAACAAGAAATCAAGTAAAAGCCAAAATCCTGTTACAGCTTTACCCAGAGACCATCCCCCAGGTCTGATATGATTGGCTTACAACTTAAGAGATCTAATAAGTTTGACTTACAAATTCCGAGGTCTGATATGATTGATTTACAACTGACAAGTTCTGATATGATTGACCAACAACTGACAAGGTCTGATATGATTGACCTACAACTGACAAGGTCTGATATGATTGGCCTACAACTGACAAGGTCTGATATGATTGACCAACAACTGACAAGGTCTGATATGATTGACCTACAACTGACAAGGTCTGATATGATTGGCCTACAACTGACAAGGTCTGATATGACTGACCAACAACTGACAAGGTCTGATATGATTGACCTACAACTGACAAGGTCTGATATGATTGGCTTACAACTGACAAGGTCTGATATGATTGACCTACAACTGACAAGGTCTGATATGATTGACTTACAACTCACAAGGTCTGATATGATTGGCTTACAATTTGGGAGGTCTGATATGATTGGCTTACAACTTCCGAGGTCTGATATGATTGGCTTACAACTTAGGAGGTCTGATATGCTTGGCCTACAACTCACAAGGTCTGATATGATTGGCTTATAACTTCCAAGGTCTGATACGATTGGCTTACAACTTACGAGGTCTGATACGATTGGCTTACAACTTCCGAGTTCTGATATGATTGACCTACAACTGACAAGGTCTGATATGATTGACCTACAACTGACAAGGTCTGATATGATTGACTTACAATTTGGGAGGTCTGATATGATTGGCTTACAACTTCCGAGGTCTGATATGATTGGCTTACGACTGACAAGGTCTGATATGATTGGCTTACAACTCACAAGGTCTGATACGATTGGCTTATAACTTACTAGGTCTGATATGATTGGCTTACAACTGACAAGGTCTGATATGATTGGCTTACAACTTGCAAGGTCTGATATGATTGGCTTACAACTCACAAGGTCTGATACGATTGGCTTATAACTTACAAGGTCTGATATGATTGACCTACAACTGACAAGGTCTGATATAATTGACCTACAACTGACAAGGTCTGATATGATTGACTTACAACTGACAAGGTCTGATATGATTGGCTTACAATTTGGGAGGTCTGATATGATTGGCTTACAACTTCTGAGGTCTGATATGATTGGCTTACAACTTAGGAGCTCTGATATGATTGGCTTACAACTCACAAGGTCTGATACGATTGGCTTATAACTTACGAGGTCTGATATGATTGGCTTACAACTTCTGCGGTCTGATATGATTGGCTTACTTAATACGCCTGTCGGCCAGTTCATTCATCTGTCGGTCAGTTCATTCGTCTGTCATTCAGTTCATCTATAAATCTGTAAATATTTTTAAAAAATACTAAAGTCTTGTTTAATTAATAATCTTTTATTTATAAATGTTTCCCTCCAGATAACATTATTTATCAAACAGACTGTCGAGAAACTATAAGTATTTTCTCCAATAAACACTAATATTATTTAAAATCATGACATGGCTGTGTTTTTTATGTTTATCTGAAATTCAGAGCACATTTTCAGCACACTGAGAAAAAAAATACAAAACGGTAAACGGTGAAGAACTTTACTTGTGTTTCCCAGAATGCATTGAATGTATCTTATATAAAAATGTAAACAAGTTCAAATGCAATTTTGTTTAGCACCATGGTTACATAACATTCAGACAAACAAATATCAAATATTTTAAAAAGAAAATAAAAACATCAACAACTTATTACAATAGGAAAGAATAATTATGAGGTTTGCGCAGTTTGGTAAACAAAAGCAATACAGTAATGAGTTTTCAGGACAAAATAAAAAACAAAACAAAAATAAAATAAAATAAAAGCACCTGACGGGATTGGTCACGCCCCTTTGCAGGGCTGCATAAATACACTCGAGGTGTCTGTAAAGTCTCTCTGTGTGTGTGTCTCTCCACCAATAGCTCTTTCTTTTCTCTCTGTCTCGCTCACTCTCTCTCTTTCTTTAGCCGTTGAAGCACACCGTCCCGACCTCGAAGCCGAATTTCTGTTTCGGGTTTCCGAAATCAGACACAGCCACATCGACGATGGGCAGAATGTCAGAGTCCGGAGAGTTCACCTCCAAAACCGTCCGGCCCTGACCCGTCCGAGACTGCAAGAGAAAACAACCCAGCTCAGGTGACTTAGTTGAAGCTGTCTCCACACATAACAACTATGAATATATTATTATTATCATTATTATTATTATATTATTATGAACGCTATTATTATTACAACAACCAACAAAGTGTACCAATGAATAATATATAATAATAAACAATAAACCTTTTTAATGTTTAAAACAAAATTAATTTTGTTTGCTGTTACAACAACAATGTTAATATTATTATTATTATTATTATTATTATTATAACTATTATTATGGCTGGCCCAAAAAGCATTTTACAGGCGTTGAATACTTACTGGAATAACAACTGTCAAGCTTACCCTTAAAGACAATAATAATTATGTTTAATAGCTAATCATACTTTTAATTAATAATAATAATAATCATAGCAATTAATAATAATAATAATAATGTTTGTCACTGTAGTTCAAAATAGATCCAGCAGGTGGCACCAGTGTATTAAAAGTCTGACTATGAATACATAATAATGGTGCCTCAGAGACTGAGTAACAGCCCATTCTGCTAAAAAAGTTCAATAAATAGCAATACTAATACTGAATCTTAATGTTAATACTAACTAAAAATCATACTAATAGTAAATAGTAAAGTTAACATAAGAAAGTATTTAATGTTAAATAAGTCTTTGTCACCCTTTGGCGCAAATAAAAACTGCCCTAAATATACAGAATATGCACCGACAAAACTTCATCTGGCTTTAAATAATGAAAAAAAAACAGTTACCAACAATGTTGTCCCAACTTATTGATTTTTCACAATTTCTGTGATGCTGGTGTGTCATGTCTGGTGAGTTGGGGGTACAGTGGTCTACAGACTCACCTGGCAGCTGTCATAGCTGGGCTGGATGTAGTGGGCGTTCGTATGCGTGAGTTCCTGTCCGTTGCTGCCTCTGAAACGCAGTGAGCGTGAGTGGCTGAGGGTGGTGCTGTCCAGCCAGCCGGCCGAGTTCTGACACAGATAAGTGAAGGACTGTCTGCCTGTTGCACTGAGCAGCTTCAGAAAACCCAGCTGGACCACATGGACCTCATTACCGTCAGCATCTATGTAAGTAAACTAGGAGGGGGAAGAGAACCGAGAAGATGAGTAACAACATCAAGTAAGTCCTCGTATTCATCACAGCTAAAAAGCACTCACCTGTGAGCCTTTCCTGAACTGGCTGTACCAGGAACCAGGCTTCTCCTTATTCCACGCAGCCAGCTTCACCTGCAAACAAATATTCCTGTCGGTCACTTACAACACTCCTGTCAATCACCTGCAACACTCCTGTCAATCATTTACAACATTCCTGTCAATCACCTGCAACACTCGTCAATCACCTACAACATTCCTATCATTTTCAACACAGCTGTCAATAATTTACAACACTCCTGTCAATCATTTTCAACACTCCTGTCAATCACTTAGAGCATTCCTGTCAATCCCCTGTAACACTCGGGTCAATCACCTACAACACTCCTGCCAATCACCTGCAACACTCCTGTCAATCACTTACAATGCACCTATCACTCATTTAGAACACACCTGTCAATCACTTGCAACACTCCAGTCAATTACCTACAACATTCCTGTCAATCACCTATAGCACTCCTGTCCCATCACCTACAACACTCATGTCAATCATTTTCAACACTCCTGTCAATCCTTTACAACACTCCTGTCAATCCTTTACAACACTCCTGTCAATGCTTTACAAAATTCCTATCAATGCTTTACAACATTCCTGTCAATGCTTTACAACACTCCTGTCAATGCTTTACAAAATTCCTATCAATGCTTTACAACATTCCTGTCAATGCTTTACAACACTCCAGTCAATTACCTACAACATTCCAATCACCTACAACACTCCTGTCAATCCTTTTCAACACACCTGTCAATCATCTACAACACTCCTGGCAATCCTTTTCAACACACCTGTCAATCATCTACAACACTCCCATCACCTACAAAGCTCCTGTCAACCTCATTTATACAACACCTGTCAATCATCTACAACATACCTCATACCTGTCAGTTACTTACAGCACACCGGTCTGTCATTTACAACATACCTGTCAAGCACTTATAACAGACCTGTCATTCACAACCTGCCTGTTGATTGTTTAGAACACACCTGTCAATTGTTTGTAACACACCTGTTGATTGTTTAGGACAGAGTTGTCATTCATTTAGAACACATCTGTGCATCACTTAACACACCTCTCAACAACTTACAACACATCGGTCCATCATTTAGAACACTGCTGGTTTGTACAGTCTACATGGTTTGGTACAGCCTGTACAGACTGCGAATGATATTTGAAGGTCAGTGATCTCTCACCGTCTGGTATTTGCTGTGGGGCTGCAGGCAGGTCTCCCCCTCTGCCGTGAAATTACAGAACACCTTAAACGAGTCTCTGTGGCAGCCCTGATTCGGATCGATCCAATACACACCTGAAAAACACAAGAGGAACAGTGACAGTCAGGTCAACCAGTCAGCATGTTCTACTGCCTCTACAGCATGGACCCTGTTTTACTGCCTCTACAGCATGGACCCTGTTTTACTGCCTCTACAGCATGGACCCTGTTTTACTGCCTCTACAGCATGGACCCTGTTTTACTGCCTCTACAGCATGGACCCTGTTTTACTGCCCCTACAGCATTGACCCTGTTTTACTGCCTCTACAGCATTGACCCTGTTTTACTGCCTCTATAGCATGAACCCTGTTTTACTGCCTCTACAGCATGGACCCTGTTTTACTGCCTCTACAGCATGGATCCTGTTGTACTGCCCCTACAGCATGGACCCTGTTTTCCTGCCCCTACAGCATGGTCCCTGTTTTACTGCCTCTACAGCATTGACCCTGTTTTACTGCCTCTACAGCATGGACCCTGTTTTACTGCCCCTACAGCATGGATCCTGTTTTACTGCCTCTATAGCATGGACCCTGTTTTCCTGCCCCTACAGCATGGACCCTGTTTTACTGCCTCTACAACATGGACCCTGTTTTACTGCCCCTACAGCATGGACCCTGTTTTCCTGCCCCTACAGCATTGACCCTGTTTTACTGCCTCTACAGCATTGACCCTGTTTTACTGCCTCTACAGCATGGACCCTGTTTTACTGCCCCTACAGCATGGACCCTGTTTTACTGCCCCTACAGCATGGACCCTGTTTTACTGCCTCTACAACATGGACCCTGTTTTACTGCCCCTACAGCATTGACCCTGTTTTACTGCCCCTACAGCATGGACCCTGTTTTACTGCCTCTACAACATGGACCCTGTTTTACTGCCCCTACAGCATGGACCCTGTTTTACTGCCTCTATAGCATGAACCCTGTTTTACTGCCTCTACAACATGGACCCTGTTTTACTGTCCTGTCAGCACCGTCCTTGGTTCACTGTCCCTACAGCATGGTTCCTGTTCTACTGTCCTTTCAGTGCGGTCCCTGTTTCACTGTCCCTTCAGCACAGTCCCTGTTTCACTGTCCCTTCAGCACAGTCCGTTCACTGTCCGTTCAGCACATTCCCTGTTTCAGTGTCCCTTCAACACTGACCTTGTTTTGCTGTACCTTCAACATGGTCCCTGTTCCACTGTCCCTTCAGCAAAGTCTCTGTTTCACTGTCCCTTCAGCACAGTCCCTGTTTAACTGTCCCTTCAGCATAGTCCCTGTTTAACTGTCCCTTCAGCATAGTCCCTGTTTAACTGTCCCTTCAGCATAGTCCCTGTTTCACTGTCCCTTCAGCACATTCCCTGTTTCAGTGTCCCTTCAACACTGACCTTGTTTTGCTGTACCTTCAACATGGTCCCTGATTTACTGTCCCTTCAGCATATAATAAAAAAAATGCTGACTCCTGAATAGTTGTAAGCTAACTTTACCCACCATCGGGCAGCTTGGGGTTACACATCCAGAGCTCCTTGCAGGTTCTGGCTGGGCTGTGGTAGGTTCCTTGGGGGTTCCTCAACCCCTCCACCTCTGTCCTCATGGAGGCCAGAGATGCAAACACCTCCTCCATGTCCTTCTCTCCTCCCCCTCCTTCTGTTCCATCACTCTGCATCCCTTCTTCCTCCAATCCCTCCATCTCTCCGTCCATCTCTTCATCCACCAGAGATGCCCCATCCACCTCTGAGTGACGCCTGCGCTTTCTGCCTCCATCCTGAACTGGGAGAGGCACCATCCCTACTGCAGGCAGACCCTACAGATAGAGAAAGAGAGAGAGAAATGCATTACATTAGCCACCATGCTAATCTTAGCATGATTAAAAAAAAGTGTCATTTTTACCACACATTCAAAATAAATTTAAATTGAAATGAACAACTTGCTCTGAATGTACATACATTGATATATACTGAGGCACTGAAATGTTTGTGATTCATTTTGACTGTGGTAAAAGTGAGTGTGAGTCATGTGTTCAGTGAATTCAGGATGATTTAAACTCACTGGAAGTCCAGGAGGACCAACAGGACCTGTATCTCCACGAGGTCCAATAGGGCCCTGAAACAAGAGAACAGGTCAATGACTAGGTGAGCCTATCTATATGTGTGTGTATGTGTGTATATATATACACATATATCTCTCACACACACACACACACCCACACACACACACACACACACATATAATATGTATATATGATACTCATCTCACCTGACTTCCTTTTGACCCTTTTTGCCCAACATTTCCCTGCAAAACAGAATGATAGCTTATTAAAAGCAGTATTTCTGTGAGTTTACACCCCAGAAGCAGAAGAGGGGGTTTTCAAACACTTTCCAAAGTATTTTTACTAAATAATTTTTAAACAAATTTGAGGAAGATGAATTATTTTGGTTTCACTGTATTTGGATAGCTCCTATGGATGCTTTACAGATGCTTTCAAGAGCATAAATTAACGGTCTCTGTTTTCTTCCTGGCCTCACGTCATTTGGACTCGGATTTGTCTAACTCTCCACATCATTAGGCCCTGTGTTGGTCTCCACATCATTTGGATTAGGAGGGCAGTCGTGGGCTGGAGGTTAGGGAACCAGCCTTGTGACCGGAATGTTGCCGGTTTGATCCCCTGAGCTGACAGTACGTGACTGAAGTGCCCTTGAGCAAGACACCTAACCCCCAACTGCTCCCCGGGCACTGCGGATAATGCTGCCCACTGCTCTGGGCAAGTATGCTCACTGCCCCCTAGTGTGTGTGTTCACTAGTGTGTATGTGGTGTTTCACTGCACAGATGGGTTGATTGCGGAGGTGAAATTTCCCCACTGTGGGACTAATAAGGGTCAATAAGATTAATCTTAATCTTTTATCTCGGCCTCCACATAATTCGGTCTTGGTGTTGTCTCAATCTCAACTTCATTAGTCTCGTCACAGACTAAGATAGGTTAGGTCCAATGTCCAATGTGCTTTTGGTCATAGCTATTTCCACAGCAATAGCTGGGTTTCCAATCAAATGTTTTGCAAATGTTATGCGCATTTCGGCGGACAAAAAAAAGCATTAAGTCATGTTTCCATTCACTACAGTTATACAAAGAAAGATTGGGGGCTTCATCGAAACAAGCAGGTTGGAAAGGTTTGACTTGGTTTTTGCTTTAAGTAGAATCATCTTTACAGCTGTTTGCCATCTTTTTATGATTGTTTGCAGCTCAGAGACGCAATGGTGCACTTAACGAGGGCCCAAATCTCAGTGCCAACAGCATCCACCTTGCATTTGGGAACGCAAATGCACCAGACAGTTCTGGGGCACACTGTGCAGAGCCATTTTTTAAACGAGCTTTAGTTAGCCATTTCAGAATGTCAAAAACAAGATTGGACCAACTGTAGAGCCAGTCATGCCTCAGTTACGGCTTGATACGTCATTGTTTGTTTGACAAACCCTTTTCCATCAACCCTTTTCACATTTCGGCTTTAGCAATATTCATGTTTTCTACCTTGTTGTCGTGTAAAACTCTTTTTGTGAAATTTGGGTGTTTTTTTCGAATTTTTGGCTTTTTCCATTCAGGTTTTTTGTGGATTTTCTGTGACCATGCCCTGGTATATAATTTACATATGAATCTTTCAATTAAATTACTTTCAGGAATATTTATTGTATGTGCATACAGCTTGTTCATGTGGAACTGATGTACACATTTGAATTAATGTAAATTAAATTTGTTGCTCTTTTCTGGAGTTCCACTGCAGCCATAGAGCACAGCTACTTGTGTTTTGTGTGATTTTAATTCCAAGTGCAAGTGTGCAACAGCATGAAAGACTCACAGACAGTCCAGGGGGTCCTGGGGGGCCGTTGGGTCCTGAAGGGCCAACTGGACCCTGAAATAGCAGCATGGAGAATCCAGTGACTTACAGAGAGAACAATTACCAACAAATAAATAATAAACACCAACAAATACTAATAACATTAATACAGTAAGTCGTGATTTTCTGTGTGTCAGTGTGTTTGTTTGATCCATTTCCTGTCAGTGTTATCTGTAGTCAGGTACTGTAGTCAGGTTATCGTAGGTGTTATCTGTAGTTGTCATCCAATACCTGCTTAATCTAATCACTATGTCATTATGTTAAATCAGGAGCTGCTGATGAAATTTGTCTGGAGGAGAAATCTGGAACCAAACATTGTTCTTCATAATAGTCCACAAGATTTTGGTTGTTTTTAGTGTATTTGTGGTTATTTGTATATATTTTAACAAAATATGTCGATTTTTCAAGCAAAATCTCCTTTATTGCCAAGATAAATGTTTGTAAACACTGCAAAAGATGATCTGGGGATGTGAGAGCTTCTTAAATGGAAATAATATGCTAACATGCCTCATACATCTTATTACGAGATTATTCAGCCTATTTCTAGCTGTTACAGTAAAACCATGTGGACTGTCAACTTGTGTTTGTATAATCTCACCGGATCTCCTTTGGGTCCCTGTATTCCCTGGTTTCCAGGCAGTCCTCGGTCTCCTTTCTCTCCAAAGTCACCCGGTGGACCAATCAGACCGATCAGACCTCCATGACCCTGTTACACACACGTTATTATGGGGGATTTGTGGAAAAAAAAACATCGGAACCTGAAGAGTTTACATCTGCCAGTGTGTTAATGTTACCTTTTCTCCCTTCCTTCCAGGGTCTCCCTTCAGACCTGGCAGACCTGAGGGACCCTAAAAGTAAAAGGTCAGAAACATTACAATTTGATGTCATAAAAGGATGAAAACATGACTCTGAGCACCTGCTGGAGACGTACCATTGGTCCTGGAGGTCCTGTCTGACCTGGGGGTCCGTTCAAGCCTTGCTCTCCCTGAAAGAGAAAGTGTGAGAGTCCTTTAGTTAACCATCATTGAGAGGACACATCAAGACTTAGACCATAGACTGTTGGACTGTGTTCAGACTGTCAGCCTAAATCAGATTTTGTCGTATCCAGATTGTATCCAGATTGATTTTTGATAGTCTAGACAGCAAACGACCACATGAAATCGGATTCTTGCAAACCCAGACCATATTTGGAGGAGGTTTGAAATGCGACTCCAATCAGATGTTTACACATGCGTCTCAGTCTGAACACTCTGGACCCTCAAATCAGATTTTAAAGTGTCATTTTGCGTCACTCGCAACTCATCAAACAACGACGATGTCAAATCCAGAGCGATGAAGTGCTGGGATTCAAGAAGAGCTCCAAAGATTCAGGATTATGAAGAGAGTTCTGAAGAGTTTGGAGGGCGAGATGATGCTCCTCCATCTCTCCTGCATTCGCATTGTCACCAGCTTAGCTACGTAGTTACTGACGCCTACATCGTTACCATGGCAACCCATGCAGATAGCCTGGTGATATCTGGATACATGAATCTGATCTGATCACTTGGAAATAACAGAGTGGACAGTCGACTCAAAAGGCCTGATTTGAGAAACAAATCTGATTTGCCTGCAGTCTCAACACAGCCTTGGTCACCAACTCTGGTCCTGGAGATCTACCTTCCTGCAGAGTCTAGTTCCAACCACAATCTGCCTCACCTTCTCCAACTGATTAACATCTTCCCAAGTCCCTGATTGGCTGGATTAGCTGCATTAGAGTTAATTAAGGGAGGGCAGTTTTTTAGATACAGAATTAATCTCTGCAGGAAAGTAAATCTACAGGGGGGGGGTTGGTGACCATTGACATAGACAGGTACAAAACCTACTCCCCATTTAAAACTTCAGCCTAAAAGTGGTTGGCTGAGCATATTTTCAACAGTAACTTGGTGATATATTATACCATAGCGTGTTCGGGGGATGTTTTTTGGATAATTTTGTGGTAATTGTTCTGCAGCATTTATTCGCTGTGTTTTTCTATAAGGACTCTCATTATGAAGGATATTATAAGGACTCTTATTATGAATGGATATTTTGTAGCTGCTTAGAGCCAAAGCACACTGCTGAAGTTTCTCACGTTTTGCATCCTCCAACAGGATTTGTGGTTATTCAGCACCCATCTTGAAGAAAATCTTGTCTTTCTAAAGCTCTGCATTCAAAGATTTGAAGCTTTCAAACATTGTTGAATTCACTAGTCGCATTTGATCCCATTACGACTGTCAGCAAGTCGGCAGGCATGTTTTAATCAAAACAGTGGAGTGGGAGCTTTGATTTGATGTGCTGAATGGTAAATTTAACCCTCTAATTGGCTACCAAGTAACAATAAAACTTTGTAGAAACTTAGTTGTAGTACAACTGTTGGTAAAAACTTAGTTTAGAGCTTTGGATGAAATATTTTAAGGCAAGAAGCGGAACCAGTTCTAGATCTCCACTGCCCTGCTGCAGCCCAGGCCAAACTAATTTCAGTCCGTCTAATCCATGTGACATGCCCTTTATTATAAGCCGAAACCCATTTTAAATCTTATCCATCTTGCTCTGCTGAGTGAAGTAAATCCTGAGAAAAGTGACCAGGTAGAACATTCGATTAAATTTAAGAACATCAGAAGCTCTTATCCAATCTCTCTCACTTCCACAGGTGCAGGAGACAAAGAGAGAAAGAACAAAAGATTGACAGTCCTATTATACATCTGTTTCAGTCATCTGTGTGAACCTACCGCTGGTCCTGGTATTCCTGGCAGCCCCTGAGGCCCTGGCTTTCCAGGATTCCCTTGGCCGCCTACTGGGCCTGTCTTACCCAGGACACCCTCATAGCCAGGAGCACCCTGCAAACAGAGGGAAAGACAGGTAGACATAAAAGGGAAAGTTTTAAGCTTGGGCTTTGCATTTGGGATTATAAATGAATAAAATTAGAATAAGTTCAAATAGAAATAAACAGGGGACATAAAATGCATAAAGAGATACATAAAGAATAAAATGCACAGGTTATGTGGTATTCGCAAAATAGGTGAGGTTTAGACACAGTTACTGAACCCGCGGGCCAGTCAGATAACCAACCAGCCAAACAACCAGTAAGTTAGTAGGTTGGTTACTCAGTCATCTGTTGAGCCAACTAGTCGGTTGGAGTCAGTCAGTCAGTAAGCCTGCCAGTCTGTCAATGAGCCCACTAGTGAGTTGGTGAACTAGATAGATCATTAATCAGTGAGTCTGTTAGCAAGTTGGTCACTGAGTCAACTAATGTCAGTCATCCAGCCAGTCAGTCAGTTAGTGAACTCACCTGTCAGTCTGTGAACCAGCTAGACAATCCGTCAGTGAGTCAATTAGTGAGTCAGCAAGTTGGTCACTAAGTCAACTAGTGAGCCAGCCAGTCAGATGCTGAGTCAGTCAGTGATCCAGCCAGACACTCTGTGAGTGAGACAGTCATCCAACCAGTCAATGAGCCAGACAGGCAGTCAGTGGGCCAGTTTGTGAGCAGGCCACTTAGTCAGCCTGTCAATCAGCCAGTAAACCAGTCAGTAAGTCAGCTAGTCAGTCAGTCAGTGAGCCATCCAGCCAGTCATTGAAGCAGCCAGTCAGTGAGCCAGTTTATGAGCCAGTTAGCCTGTCAGTCAGTCAGTGTGTTGCATTTTACAACATCAGTACTATTAAAGTAACATAATGTAACATAATATAACGTCATGTTTACCTTGTCTCCTTTCATTCCAGGCTTCCCTTCCTTTCCTGGTGGGCCTAAATGACCCTACAGAGAGAGAGGGTGGTGGTGGGGGGCGGCGGGGGTTGTGTTAGTTTTGCATCTGTAATTACAACTACAAAAAAAACTAAAGATCTTCTGCACTAACCCTTCGTCCTGGCCGTCCTGGAGGACCAGGCTCTCCAGAGGCTCCAGGAGGGCCCTAAAAATGAAGAGAAGAATGTGAAAAAACAGAGAGAAAGTGATCTGACAATGAATGGACGAGGAAAAACACTCACAGCTTTGCCTGGTTCCCCATTGTCTCCTTTTGATCCAGGACCTCCATCAACACCCTAACAGAGATGTAGAGGGGGAGATTTAAATATATGTAGAGAAGATAAGTTTCATGTCAGAAACAAAGACTAGAAAGATTATACTTGTCAATGAAATGACTGACTGTAAAAGAATTCTGAAAAGAATTTCATGTAAAAGAGTAAAGAAGGGTCACTCACATCAGCACCAGGCTCTCCAGGAGGACCTGGGTCTCCGGGAAGACCAATAGGACCCTAAGAAAAGAAAGAATGAGAGGAGGAGTGGGGACAGAAAGTGAAAGGATGTTACATGCTGGTATTACAAATATAATACATTGTCTGAAGGTGTGTGTCTCCCTTTAAAACTCACAGAGTTCCCTTTGGCTCCATCCTCTCCAGATGCCCCTCGAGCTCCTGGAGGTCCTGCAGCTCCTGAAAGTCCAGAGTCTCCTTTCTCCCCCTGCTCACCTTTCTCTCCCTGCAGACATACACCTTGATTTTAGCACTATTTTGACAGGGTACATGTCTTTGGAGCAAATGTGACATTTCAACACCATGTATCCCAGTTTCTAGACTGCTGGTTGTACTGGGACCAGAGATGTTTACTAGTTGACTCATGTGAGTAAACATGTTGAATCCTTGTGAGTTTCTGCTGTGAGTCTAAGTCCATTCTCAACTCTCTGAGATGCAAGTCCGAGTCTTGAGTATCCAGGTGTGGGACCGAGTCAAGTCTCGAGTCTCTGGGGTGTGAGTGAGTCCAGTCTCAGTTCTCTGAGGTGCAAGTCTGAGTCAAGTCTCGAGTCTCTGAAATGTGAGCTCGAGTCTCAAGTCTTGAGTCTCTAGGGTGCAAGCTCAAGTCGAGTCTCCGGAGTCCGAGTCTAAGTTGAGTCTTGAGTCTCTGGGGTGCGACTCTGAGTTGAGTCTGAATTCTCTGAGATGCGAGTCCAAGTCTTGAGTATCTGAGCTACGAGTCCGAGTCAAGTCTTGAGTCTCTGGGCTGTGAGTGAGTCCAGTCTCAGTTCTCTGAGGTGCAAGTCTGAGTCAAGTCTCGAGTCTCTGAAATGTGAGCTCGAGTCTCAAGTCTTGAGTCTCTAGGATGCAAGCTCAAGTCGAGTCTCCGGAGTCCGAGTCTAAGTTGAGTCTTGAGTCTCTGGGGTGCGAGTCTGAGTTGAGTCTGAATTCTCTGAGATGCGAGTCCAAGTCTTGAGTATCTGAGCTACGAGTCCGAGTCAAGTCTTGAGTCTCTGGGCTGTGAGTGAGTCCAGTCTCAGTTCTCTGAGTTGCAAGTCAGAGTCAAGTCTAGAGTCTCTGAAATGTGAGTTTGAGTCTCAAGTCTTGAGTCTCTGGGGTGTGAGTTCAAGTCGAGTCCACTGGCTGTCCGAACAGCAGGCTCTCTTGTGGTCTTCAAACACAGACAGAAGACCGTCTCGTTTTACAGCACTTAAGTGAGCGCTAATCTAGGTACTTATTGAAATGTATTACACTTAGGCTGCGTTTAATACTGCATCTTTATTTACAGGTATCAGCACTGGCTTCTGTTTCCAGCTGTGTCTGACCTCAAGGGTAGTTTGGGCTCTAACTTCAGCTGGGATACATTTTCTGAGTGGACAAACAAAGCACTTTTGTAAATCGCTCTGGATGAGAGCATCTGCTAAATGCCATAAAAGTAAACGTTACTGAGGTACGCATCTGAGATGAGTCTTGAGTCTCCGAGGTGCAAGTCAATGTCTCAAGTCTCTGAGGTGTGAGTCTGAGTGTTGATTTTCTGAGGTGCAAGTCCAAGTCTCAAGTCTTTGGGGTGCAAGTTCAATTCTCGAGACTCTGAGATGCGAGTTTGAGACTCAAGTCTTGAGTCTCAGGGGTGCTTGAGTCTCAAGTCCAGGTTGAGTTTCTGAGGTGCAAGTCTGAGGCGTGCCTCCAGTCTCTGTGGTACGAATTCAAGTCAAGTCCAAATTCCTGGGGTGGGAGTCCTAGCTGAGTTGCCAGTAGTGTGAATTTGTTTTTGCATTATTAGTTAGTAACAGGACAATGTCTGTTTTATTTGAACTTCAGTCTCAATTAGACTACATAAACCGCTAACTTAACGAAAGCCCTTGTTGTAGCCTAATGTGCGTTTTTAGTAGGGTACAAATAACAGTACTCTAGCTGCTCTTTGGTTGACAAACCTTTTTTAATATACTTATGCCTTTAAATACTTATATATACCTGCCTATTGCAAGCTGTGTATTTAGAACAGTTGGCGTTGACAGAATAAAATGAAAATTTCTAACATAATCAAACATGATGATTAAAGAGAACATCATTAATAAAGGGTATATACATAGGACTTTGGAAAGTATACATAAGGCAGCAAAGCCCCTGAGACTTTGTCTGTGTGTTGGAAAGTACCAGAACTTCTCTAAGCAGCAGAAGCCTTTAAGTGAACCCTTTGAACCTTAAGCCACAAGGAGGCCAGTGTATAAACGGGTGTTTGATAAGCACCAAGGAAGGTGCTGCGTACCAGAGATGCAGCTGCCCTTTTTTAATGATTAGATACGAAGAAGACAACTAGACCTTTTTAAGAGAGAGAGGGGATTACCTCATCTCTGAAAGGTGTATAAAAACATGGAACTCCGTACATTGTATTCGCATTTGGTTTCCGGAGACCTTATGTCCAAGCAATGCCTTGTGTTGGGCTTGAATAAAGACTGAGGCCTTATCTGAAGTCTTTTTTGTAGATCCGAAGTAGAATAATTATTAGGTGCAAGTAAATTATAAAAGAGTGAGATTAAATTAAGGCCATGTCTTAAGTGATAAGGTTTGCTTGAGGCACGACAGCGTACAGCCTGACTAGGGAAACTAAGAGCATTCAAGGGCATAATGAAACATGTAGAGCTAAAACAGGAGACTTCATAGCTTATGTATTGTCTTTTCCCCCCCTGTGATAACAGTGAGGCACAGCCACATTTATTACACCAAAGCATCTCAGAATCTAATCAGTGATTTTAAAATATACATTGTAAATACTGTTAGTTTGCAACCAATCATATCAGGCAAAACTAGAAAACTAGAACTGAGCAATCAACCAACAAAACGCCTCTAGAGAAGAGAAGAGGTTTTACTCACAGTGCTTCCAGGCACACCTACAGGACCAGGATCTCCTGACTCACCGTCCTCCCCCTACCATCATCATCATCATCATCATCATCATTTCAAACATCATCGTCATCATAATCACCCCAACCAACAGCACAAAATAAGTAAAACTCATTTCAAAGGCGAACTGTTTTATTAGATGATAAAGCTCTGTGTAAGATGGCAAAGTGCTTCATTATCTGAAACGTTTCATTAGGTGATAAAAGGCTTTCAGAGACAGTAAAGTGCTAGGCTGTGAAACACTTCATTAAATGCTGAAAGGTTTTATTAATGATAAAAGGTTTATTAGATGTCACTCTCACCTTCTCCCCAACTCCACCAGGCTGACCGCGAACGCCCGGCCTGCCAGGAGGACCCTGTTCACGCAAAAACAACACTCACTCATCAACATTGCAAACAAAATATAATACTCTGAAAATCTGTGGGTAACCCTTGATCTTTAGAGAGTGATTTCTGATAAAAAAAACATTTTCAGTTAATTTGTATTTATTAGAATCATCATGCTTGTTGTGTTTTAAACTCCATAAGAGTTGTGCTAAGGCTCTTATTTCATGGTTAAGTTTTGTTTCCAACCAGGAATCTTCTCTCCGTCATATTTAGGTAGATACAGCCAGGTGAGCTCTCCCATTGGTTAGGGCTTTAGAAGCTGGATGTTAAATTAACTACCATCATAATTAGAGGAATCAACCAATATGTTTACAATGGGATCAATTTAATAAGAATCCGTCAGAAGTTCTAGATAACTAACTGTGAACATGAGTCACAGTCTAAGCAGGTTAGGGTTAGTTGTTAGGAATGTAAAACAGCGACGGCAGCTCTATGTCAGAACTCTTTACTAAAGAGTCACTGTAAAACTGATACATACAAGCTCAGATATATGATAATGTCTGTAACAAGATTAAGATAAAACACATGGAATATATTTTACAAGCTTCAGATGTCTGAGTTTAATGTAGAACAGCCAAAAAAGTGCTAACATACTATTAGAAATCCCATAGGTGTTCTAGAAGAAATTAGCATTGTCGTAGAGGTGGGTTTGTTCTTGGTTTTTGGCATTTATGATTCAAACTGAAGGGTTAGCTCAAATAGTCAGACCTCACTGCTGCTTAACAGCACAACGCAAAATGTTACCATTTAGATTTCTGAACAGAATGTTGTCTTCTTGCACTCTATATACTAATGAAATAAACAGGAAATTGATAAAACTGTGCGTTTGTGCACATACCTGTCCACCACTGGGTCCCTGAGGGCCTCGTGGGCCGAGCTGACCAGGAGGACCCTAAAATCAAAAAAAAGTTCCAAACTTGCTCATTAAACAAATTGTAATTTCTTTACCTGAATTCAGTTCACCTAACAGACCAACATGGGAAACTCTATTTGATATTATATTATAAATGAGGGAAAAGAAAAATCTCTCACGATCAGTCCAGAGTGTCCACTCTCTCCTTTCTCTCCCTGGAGGTCCAGGCATTCCCTACACAGGACATTGAACTCATTTATAAATGAAATCAAGCTATAAAACAAACCACCTAAACAAAATGACCAAGAAGCAGTCAGAACTTCAGACTCATAGTCCACTTTATTAGAAACACTGACCTTGTTCTTCCACTCACTGGCCACTTTGTTGGAAACACCAATCTTGTACATCCACTCACTGGCCACTTTATTGGAAACACCAATCTTGTACATCCACTCAAATTTCTACCTCACTATTATTAAATCCCTTCCTCAGAAGCTGACCACTGATGAAGGTCAGGATGGTTAACACAAACTGTTCATGAACAGATAAGCTCCATTGTACATCATCAAGGTGGAGCTACAGCAGAGGGGTTTCTGATAAAGTGGACTTTCATGAAACACTAAGTCTGGAGTAGATCCTTCACCGTTACTGCATAAGTTCCTTTTAATGTTGACACGATACTTTTAATAGTCATAAAATAAAGCTTTGCTGAGTTGAAGCGGAGAGTACCTGTAGTCCTCGTGGTCCTGTGGCTCCTTTAAAGCCCCTCAGTCCTTCATCTCCTTTCTGTCCATACATCCCCTGCTGCCCCGGTGGCCCCCGCTCCCCATCAACTCCCTGTGGGGCAAAACATATCACTGATCTGACCATAAAATATGTGCACCCTGCAGGACAAAAACAGCATTAAACGATTCTCTCTGGTATTGCTAGGGTGTTGCTAGATGGTCACCATGGTATTTTAGGGATAAATAGCATGGTATTAAAGCGGCACTATGTAATATTTTTTAAAACTGAAAGAAGTGTCATTACTGAGCGGGTTGTCCTGTAAAGCCTGAAATCACTTTTAATCATTTAAAAGTCAGAGGCGTCGAGTTTTTCAAACCACGTTGTACGTCTTTATGTATTAACGTCACACACAGACTCAAAAAGAAGGTCCGGCTCGATGTTTCGGCCTCAAATGATCTCAAAATCAACATCATACTGATGAAGATATGATGACAATAGTAGAGTATTCACTCATATCCTCAGAAGACGCTCCTTCACCAAGTTTAGACTGAGTTCTCTCTGAATTCTCTTTCAACAAACTCAAAAAAGTCAGATATATCTGCTTGTGAAGCACAACCGGCGTTACACAACGTTATTCTACACATTGCATGCGATTACAATTACACCAGAGGGGGCTCCAAATCCCCAAATCCTACATAGTGTTGCTTTAAGTGGTGGTTTAATTGCTAGGTTTGTATTTAAGGTGGTTAATAGGGTGTTGTGGAGCAGGTGGTAAGGTGTCCAAGGTGGTTGCAAGGGTGTATGTATATATGGACTCTGTATGTATGTATGTATGGACTCTGGTTCTCCAGGACCGGAGTTGTGCAACCCTGTTTTATGCACTGCACTGCTGCCTCAGCATTGGCCAATTAGGTAACTGCGTGAATGAGCAGGTGTACAGTTGTTCCTAATAAAGTGCTCTGTTAGTGTAAATCATTCAATATATAACATCCATTCACTCTAAGGCAAAGAAAGAGGTGGGTCTTACTTATATATATGGCTAACTCTAAAATATCTGAACCTGGGGGAGGGGGGGGGGTAAACCACATCTCAAGTTCTGTAAAATTATTGTTAATCCTAAAATATCACTCTAGAGGCAAAAAAATGTTTGCAAAGCTGAAAAAAAGCTGGGAAAACACTTCAACACTGAATATCTGCAGGATACGTTACTATGAACCGACATTTCAGTCTCTACACTGAGATGAATTTTACAGTAAAACAAACTCATGTAAAATGTTACAGTCTGTAAGCTTTGTATTTCAGTGTCATGTACATTAACTCCACCAAAAAGTCCAAATATTTCACAGAAATTTCTGCTTGCTCACCGGCACACCTGGCTGCCCCTCTGGTCCCTGAGTACCGGTTGGCCCCGGAGGTCCCTGTGGACAGAAAATGAAAACAGAAATAGTGTTTTATAATTTCCACATATTCTATTATTTGTGTGTGAATATTTTATTTGAAAATACTAATTACAAACCCATAACTCGGATAACTCCTGTGTAAACAGTTACAAAAGCCCACTTTAACCTCAAAAACATTAGAGATCCTTAAGTACCCTATATTTGTAGGTTTATTATTCTGGGACGTCCTTCAGCTTTTAAATAAGTACTTATTTGTACAAATAAATTCATTCAAAAAATTAAATGAAACTTGGGCGTTTGTATCCTGATATACACCAATATGAATTATACCGTAAAATAAAAGAACAGAGGAAGAATAGAATAGAGGGGAACAGAAGAATAGATGAGAATAGAGAAGAATAAATGAGAACAAGGGGAAGATAGAAAAGAACACTGAGGTTCTTACAGGTTCCCCTTTGTCTCCTTTGCTGCCTTTCTGTCCTGGACCTCCTGTTTCACCCTGCAGATGAAAACAAAAGAATGAAACACACTCCAACACTTCAGCGTACACACAGTATCAGCACTGATACACACTCTCGCATGGACGTTACCTTATCTCCATCCTCTCCTGGGTGTCCTGGAGGACCAGTGGCTCCTGGTAATCCCACAGGCCCCTGCTCTCCATCCTGACCTGCAGGGCCTATTGGACCCTTCTCCCCCTGTATAACAAATCGAGAGAGCAGAGTGTTAGAACCCTTTTTGGCACTATACAGAACCATTTACAAAACATCAATCTGAAGACCCCTTTCGCCATGCAGAGAACCATTTAAGAATGCAAATGTGAGTGTTTATGGTTCTATATAGAACCATTATCTTTACTATAGAACCCTTGAAGATCCATCTCTTAAGAGTGAAGGTTTCTGTGCACACAACATTGCTTCTTGTGTGAAATTGTCTCAGTCGTTGTTCAGAGGATGGTGGGTGCTGTTCTCTGCCAGGTATGATCAGCAAAAATGCACTGATAGTAAATACTGTTAGACATGGCATGACACTTTTCTGTCACTCAACCCAAACTCTTAGTAACAAAGCGAAATAAAAGACACAAAGCCAAGCAGCACCTCCAAGACTGGGTATGGTCACGTTCTTCAGAGTGTCCCTCACTTACCTTTGTCTTTGCCTTTCTGTCTTTCTGTCAGCCTGAAGCACTCTGGCCATTCTCCGTTGACCTCCCTATTCAACAGGGTGTTTCTGCCCGCAAAACCGCCACTCACTAGATGTTTTTTCTTTATTGCACCATTCTGTGTAAACTCAAGGGCAGTGGTCTCCAACCCTGGTCCTGGAGAGCTAGTTTCCCCACAGAGTCTAGTTCCAACCACAATTTGTCATACCATCCAGCTAATCAACCTCTTACCACGTCCCTGATTGGCTGGATCAGATGTGTCAGAGTTAAGTAAGGAACAGAGCAGCTTACGGGATACAAGTTGGAACAAATCTCTGCAGGAAGGTAGATCTCCAAGACCAGTGTTGGAGACTACTGCTCTAGAGACTGTTGTGCATGAAAATCCCAGCAATCCCAACAGTCACGCCATGATCAAAATCACTGAGATCACATTTTTTCCCCATTCTGAAGGTTGATGTGAACATGAAGATACCTGAATATATGCCAGTAGTTCACAACTGTGGTCCTGGAGACACGGTGTCCAGCACAGTTTGGTGATTTACCTGCTCAAGCACACCTGATTCCTTTCTGCTAATTTCCAGGTTTAGTGGAGGTGTTTGAGCAGGAGAACCACCAAACTGTGCTGGACTCTGGCTCTCCAGGACTGGAGTTGTGCAATCCTGTTTTATGCACTGCACTGCTGCCTCAGCATTGGCCAATTAGGTAACTGCGTGAATGAGCAGGTGTACAGTTGTTCCTAATAAAGTGTAAATCATTCTATATGTAACATCCATTCACTCTAAGGCAAAGAAAGAGGTGGGTCTTACTGGTTCTCCCTTCTCTCCCATTGGTCCAGGCCCACCGATAGTTCCAGTACGTCCAGGCTGGCCGATCGCACCAGCCAGACCAGGAGGCCCCCTCTCACCTGTAGCCCCCTGAACAGAGACAAAGAGAGAGAGAGAGACAGTCTTTAATATCCATCTGTTTCTCTTTCCAATTCAGCAATTTGACCATAACCTAATAGAGTTTATTGAAATCAATGCTGTTTGTTTCAGTCAGTGTATTTCAACTCTAACTCAGCTTGATGTAAGTAAACAAGTCTTTACAGTTCAATCTTATTTCAGACTTATTGTCACTAAAATCAAATAAGGAATCATTTTCTAGAAATTTTGTCTTATGTCCAAATAATGTCTTAAAAATCTTAAAATCTCTCTCATGTCCAAAAAGTCCTTTGGACATTAGAGGCACTGACCACAGCAGAAATTACAGAAGCTACAAGACAATGAGAGCGTTTACATGCACTCAATAATCCGATCATAATCGGATTTCTGCAGTTATCTGATTATTCAAATGGTCAAGTAAACAGGACACCCTGATTTCTACTCTGATCGGAGTAAGGTCTAGCAATCCGATTAAGAAATCTGATAAAGAGGCTGGATTCTGGCTCAGTAATCAGATTTCTCAGTGCTGTAAACTCTTACTCTGATTTCTTTCGGGTTTCAGTGTCGCCGCGAGACGCAGCAAAACACTATTGGAGCGATGCTGAAACTACTTGCTTGACGAAATGAAGGATTTAAATATTCTTCTTCTTCTAGATGATGTACGTTCATATTTTCAGGTAAAGTGATGCCATGTTTTTAAAATAAAGCTGCAGCATGACGTTCGAGTTTTACGTCGCGTCTTCTTCTGTGAGTTTATCGGCTGGTTGTAAAACAGAAATCCGATTACTGTCTGACTCATGAAGGCCCAGAGTTTCCCCATTATCTGATTCAGAGCATGTAAACATGTTGGTTGGATTACTGTCAAAATCTCATTTTCTGCAGTTATCAGATTATTAAGTGCATGTAAAAACACTCAATGTCTTCTGATATTTGACAGCTACACATCCTTTCAGACCCATAGCGCTGAGTGAGGGGACATAATTAAGGGGAAAATGTAAATGGAATCTAGCAGATATGATCTGGAAAGGAAACACGTTAACACAAAGTGTAAACAAGCTCTGAAAGACAAAAGGTAAAATACATACAGTTGGTCCAGATGGCCCCACAGGTCCCCCACCTCCTTTCAGTCCAGGTGGACCCTATAAAACAAAAAATACATGATCAATCATCAACCAATCAGAGAGCTTTATATTTCTAAAGCTAGTACTGCCAAATACACTGTAATACATGAATATCCTAGAATGTTGATTATAACATTGATTTGATTGACTGGTATTGATAGATGATTATGATCATTCATTTTTATATGTACTGTAAGTCCTTTTCAATTTTATTCATACACCAAAGAAGTTTACTAGTTGATTCACAAGTCCCAAGTGTCTGAGGTGTGAGTTGAGTCTCGAGTCTCTGAGGTGCGAGTCTGAGTTAAGTCTTGAGTGACTGGGGTTTAAGTCTGAATCAAGTCTTGAGTCTTTGAAGTGCAAGTCTGAGTCTTGAATCTCTGAGGTGCCAGTCCGAGTCGAGTCTTGAGTCTCTGAGGTGCAAGTCCAAGTCTTGAGTTTCTGAGGTGCCAGTCCAAGTTGAGCCTTGAGTCTCTGAGGTGCGAGTTTGAGTTGAGTCTTGAGGCCCTGGGGTGCCACTCAGAGTTGAGATTCAAGTCTCTGAGGTGCAAGTCAGTGTCAAGTCTTCAGTCTCTGAGTTGCGAGTCTGAGTCGAGTCTCAGGTCACTGGGGTTTGAGTCCGAGTTGCATTGTGCAAAAGTCAACTCCTACTGAACACCTGTCAGGTTCAACACAGTCTGAGTCAGGTCTAGAGTCTCTCAGATGTGAGTCCAAGTCTTTAATCTCTAAGGTACGAGTCTGAATCACGTCTCGAGTCTCTAAAGTGTGTGTCAAGTCTCTGAAATGCAAGCTTGAGTCAAATCTCGGAGGTGTGAGTCTGAATCGGGTCTTGAGTCTCTGAAGTGTGAGTCTGAGTTGACTCTCGAGTCTCTGAAATGTGAATCTGACTTTTAGGTCTGTGAGGTTCGAGTCTCGAGTCTCTGATGTATCAGTCACAGTCAAGTCTCTGAGGTGTGAGTCTGAGTTGAGTCTTGGGTCTCTTAGATGCGAGTCCGAGTCGAGTCTGTGAGATGCGAGTCGAAGTCGAGTCTTAATTCTTTGAGGCGCGAGTCTGAGTTTCAAGCGTCTGAGGTGCAAGTCCAAGTTTAGTCACAAATCCATGGGGTGTGAGTTCAGTTCGAGTCTTGAGTCTCTGAGGTATTGAGTCAAGCCTCTGAGGTGCAAGTCCGAGTCAAGTGTCGGGCCTCTGAGATGCGAGTCTGAGACGAGTCTCTGAGATATGAGCATGTATAGAGTCTTGAGTGTCCGATATGTGAGTCCGAGTTGGGTCTTGGGTCTCTGAAGTGTCTAAGTCTCAAATTTCTGAGGTGCAAGTCATGGTCAAGTCTCTGAGATGTGAGTCATGGTCAAGTCTCTGAGGTGAGAGTCTGAGTCGAGTATTTAGTCTCTGAGGTGCAAGTCTGAGTCAAGTCTCAAGCCTCTGAGGTGCGAGTCCAAGTCTAGTCTCGAATCTCTGGGGTGTGAGCTCAAGTTTCATGTCTGAAAGTGTGAGTTTGAGTTGAATCTTGAGCCTCAGAGGCACGAGACCGAGTATCAAGTCTCTGAGGTGAGAGTCTGAGTCGAGTATTTAGTCTCTGAGGTGCAAGTCTGAGTCGAGTCTCAAGTCTCTGAGGTGCGAGTCAGTAATAAGTTGCAATGGTTAACTAGCTGGCTGATTTGATCTAATTTTATTACATTGTAAACTTTCTCATCGACCTCTCAAGCCGTCAATCACTGATCATCTCCTGTCTAGAGTTCCTTCTAATGAAAATTAGGTACTGTGGTTACCATGGCGCCCGGTACTCCTCGACTACCGCGGAAACCTTTCAGCCCGGCCGGTCCGTTCTTTCCGGAAACACCTGTGGATCCGGGGTCTCCCTGACGACAGAAATACATATTCATCATGAGGGAAGACGAGAAATATGCTATGTTGAAGATCCTGAACATGGTGAACATGATTTCTGACCTTTGCCCCCTCTTTGCCGGCAGCGCCAGGTAGACCCTGCTCTCCAGGTGGTCCAGCAGACCCTGGATGACCTCTTTCTCCCATTGGTCCAGTCTCCCCTGTGTTGCCCTAGAAACAGACATTCTCTTAGAGAACTCAGCCAATCAGAGAAGAGACAAACACATTGTTTATGTCTTAAAAAAACATCTCTTTATACATTCAATTGTTTCTGACTTGTTGCTCACTAAAACAAGCACTTTATAATAACAGACTCTAATTAACAACAGCTTAAAAAGTTTGTTAATAACTATTGTTAACACTGTCACTATTAAGTATTAATAGCACAATACATAATACACTATACATTAATAAATTATTTCAATTATTAACCATTTACTTATAGATAATAGTTATTTTTAACAGTGAAAACTGAATCATTAAGTTGATACACAACTAACAAATGATAACTTCAAATATTAAGAATGTACTGAGTTGCATAGAAATAATTTACAATAATTAATAGATTTTCTACATCCTGTTTTAAATGATTAAGCAGTTGTTCACTTTTTTGCTACTGTGCAATACAAAAAACGTAATGCTCGGTTCATTATTTTAAGTGAGTAATGTATACTTTTAAAAAACATTGATAATCATTCATTGGACTCTTATTGTAAAGCTGATTATGATACATTCATAAAGATATATCACTTTACTTATTACACTTAAAATTAATACATGTATAAAAATCATTTATAATGCTTTATTTTTTGTATATCACTACATAAACAGTTAAAAATACACAAGCAACAATTAACTATCATTAACAAATAGTAGACAACCCTTAAGGTGCCATTTAGAGGGGCCTGTTATTATAAAGTGTTTTTAAAAAAGATTTTTCATTATGAGTTAGATTGGATGAAGTTATTGTAGTGTGTACAGTCCCGTTCTTTGGAAACTTTATATTTTTTGCTGTTTTTGTCATTTTTGACGTTAAAACGAACAGAACGATACAATACAATCAATACAAAACTCAAATCCAATGTAAATGTAACTCTTTATCTGACTATGCAATCAGTTGTTTCAATATACAGGGTGATTCAAAAAGATTCATCCGTTTTCAAAATGATTTATTTCACTTGTAAATCATTACAGATCAATGCAGTGAACTGTAAATGGTTTAAATGATCATAAAGTTTATTATGTAATTGTACAAGGTCTCAGTATGAACCTCCTCCAGCTGTACAGACAACATCAACACCATAGTCAAACTCATCCCATACTGGATTGATCATGTCGGGTGTCGCTGCACTCACGGCTCTTTCAGTGCGATTTCGGAGATCGTCCAGTGTTGTGGAACCAACGCCGAACACTCTGAGCTGTTGGAGCTTCACTGCCCACGAAAGTCACACTGCACAGTTATGACGGATTCACTCTTATTGAAGTGGAGAACGCAGAACGCTTTCTGCTCAGGGGTCTCATCTCCTCTCAGACTGAAGGGAGCCATCTTCCACCGACCGTCAGAAACTCTATGACCCCCTCTTACAATTGGTATGTGATTGGTTCCTCGGCGCCTCACAGGTGGAAAAATTCTGTGCTTTGAAATCGGGTGAATCTTTGAATCACCCTGTATGACTGAATTACAATAGTATGCACCTTATTTTTCATGTGACCACTGTGTTTCAAGATTATGGCCAAATTATCTGGTTGGGGAACGGAAAGCATCGTTCATTACCGTTTTTAGCGAACTCAAATTGTCTAGTTAAACATCTCTGAGGTGTTTCTGGGAACGTGTGCAGTTTGTGCCTTTCAGTACAGCCAAGTGAAGATGAAATTACTGCAAGAGCAGCAATGCTATGAGCATAAACAGTGCAGAGCTTCAGCAGAGATGAGACTGTGGCCTCATAATGATTCAGTGAAAAGTCCAGCTGTTAGAATTGAAATCTGAGACCATAAAATGCAGCCAGATGATAAATTGTCAGTTAAACATCACTGTTTGCTCCTAACAGCTGCACATTAACTGGTTTACAAGTCATATTCTCTTTATAGCTGGCTACATTCTGCCCTCACTAGCAGGCTGGGCAGGTAGCAGAAAGCTAACCAGCTAACAGACTAACACTACAATAATAACAGACAGACTTCAAGCCTTTCAATAAAGCACTACTTTGAACCTGAGACAAAGTAAAGGTTACTTACAAGCCAAGTTACAAGATAAATTGTCTTTACTTAAACTAGTGCTGACAAAAAATCCCATATAGCACTGAGCTAACCCCACTAGCTTGATGCTAAAACAGCTAGCTACCATGGTGAACTGTTCTGTTTACAGATCTGCTAAGCTACAAATATCAGCATACAAATATTCAAGTATCCCAACAATAAAGATCATTTATATTTTTTTTTATTTCCACATTTCTATCATGTCAGGATGTTATAAGCACTCAGTTTTATCCATGAGTCACTTAATGCATCATGGGGTGCAGGAATAAAGTGGACAGCAAAACAAAAAAGAAGCAATTAAGAAAAATAAGTTAAAGATTTCTGAAGATGATGTATGACGACAGAGTCTGGGTTCAGAGACAACGATGCACAAAAACTACACTGAACTAACTGCAACACTGAGAGAAAGAAAAGTCATCCGCATTTAAGAAGATTAACGTAAACATCTGAACAGGTAAGCTCACCTGTGGCCCCACCACACCTGAGGGTCCCGGAGGCCCCGTCTTTCCTTGGAAACCCTGAAAAGAGGACGAGACTGCTTTAGTGGCCAGTCTGCAGCTCGGCGGAGACGGCATAGATAACCAGAACAAAAATAAACTCTGTCCAGCGGTAAAAATGTTGACGGTAGCATAACAGAATGAGGTTGTTTATACAAACATTCACCACTGTCTTAACAAAAATGGGTCAATCCCAAAATATAACGGCGTTACTGATGGTTTTGGCTGGTCAGAGTCCAGATTTAAACACTACAGAGAATATTTGGTCTCACATCAAACACAAACAAGCTCAGCAGTGTTTTTCAGCTGTTTGAAGCCGTCAGTGCTGAGTGGATCAATACTGACCATTACTGCTCTCTCTCACTAACTTACTGTAGCTACTTGTTTAATTCTTGCTCATTTACTGACTAATAAATTTTTAATACAGATAACTTACTGTTAGAGATTTAATGAAAATTGTAAGGCAGTCAGCTTATTTACTTCTATGTAAAGTAGCAGATCTATGCAGTGTAATATATCAGCATTATTAAGACATTAATAAAGACAATATGTCTATTATATCAGGGTTGCAGCTCTAGTTGCCCATATGGGAAAAATGTATTCCAAATGCATTTATTTTTGTATGGTTCTGTGTGTAATATTTCCCACATACATTTTACAATAAATGTATTTTAAAATATATTTGGTTAATATGGCAATAAATTCTGAAATACATTTTAGTGTTTGGAATGTATTTCAGCTTTGACAGCAAAGGATTTGACATGTATTTCAAATATAAAAAAAAATATGTGACCATATATTATTTTTTTCCATATGGCTTTTACCAATTTTACAGCAGAATTTCTGTTTTTATGTCTATGTGTGACCACAAAGAGGGCTCTGGGTTAATTAATGTTCGTAGTAGGCGGAAAAGCACTGAGCTATAATAAAAACAAGCCACACCTTTAATAATATTCACAACAGAGGTGGGAAATATGATTGTGTTTTCATTATCGTGATTCTGTGACAATACTCTTTTCTGAGAATATGATGGGTATGTTCATCCTATACTTTTAATATGTGAGATTCATTCAAACTCACCGGCTCCCCCCGCTGGCCTGGATGACCCGGTAGACCATCTTTCCCACCAGGACCCTGGACAAAAACAAGAAACGCCCCTGATCAAATGGCCATCCTACCTCAGAGTGGAGTTAATTTAAACACTAGACAGCGTAGATGAAAGGTAAGCCTTGGTGTGAACATTTTTGTTTTGTTCTTGTCTTGTTTCTGTAAAATGTGTATTATTTGATGTAACTGTGAGTTCCATGAAAGTTCACTTACAGCTGGTCCTTTCGGTCCAATCTCTCCGATACGACCCTGAGGCCCTTGAGGACCCTGAAAAACAAATCATCTGTCAGACAAAATCTGCCTTAACAGCAATAGTTCAAATTTCCACAATGAAAAATTCTGAAATCTGATCTGTTTCCATGGCAACTTCAGTACAGACTGAATTTAGTTCAGTAGCTATTACAGAATAACAGTTCCTAACTCCATAATCTCATCATTAACTCCAGATAAGAAAACAGCATCACACAAACATCCTAACTAGACTAAACCTCCTAAATCCTGTCCTAACTTTAGGATGAACCCCAACAGGGTCCTCACTTCTGTTTAAGGTCCGTTTCTATGGTTTTTAGGCAGCTGTGTCAGCAGCATAGTTCACTACCAGCATAATGAGCTCCATTTATTTCTACTGTAAAACGCTGCTTTCACTGTGAGATGATTTTCTTTTCTAACTCTGCGTTTTAAAGATCTCAGACGCTGCAGACTCGATCTCCACTGCCCCTCTGATCACCTTCGTGTGTTAATGTTGATGATGAAATATTACAGTGATGGTGGTGAATAATGAGGAGACGGAGCTGAACGTGTGTCTGTTTATTAGGAGGAAAACTAACCATGAAGTGAAAGCTATCCACCAAGCGAAAGCTGACCATCAAGAGAAAGCTAACCATCAAACGAAAGCCAACCACCAAGTGAAAGCTAACCACCAAGTGAAAGCTGACCACCAAGCGAAAGCTAACCTAGCAACAGAAAGCTAACCACCAAGCGAAAGCTGACCTAGCAAGAGAAAGCTGACCACCAAACGAAAGCTAACCTAGGAAGAGAAAGCTGACCACCAAGCAAAAGCTGACCTAGCAAGAGAAAGCTAACCATCAAACGAAAGCCAACCACCAAGCGAAAGCTAACCACCAAGTGAAAGCTGGCCACCAAGCGAAAACTAACCTAGCAACAGAAAGCTAACCACCAAGTGAAAGCTGACCACCAAGCAAAAGCTAACCTAGCAACAGAGAGCTAACCACCAAGTGAAAGCTGACCACCAAGCGAAAGCTAACCTAGCAAGAGAAAGCTAACCACCAAGAGAAAGCTGACCACCAAACGAAAGCTAACCTAGGAAGAGAAAGCTGACCACCAAGCAACAGCTGACCTAGCAAGAGAAAACTAACCATTAAGCGAAAGCTGACCATCAAACGAAAGCTAACCACCAAACGAAACTAACCACAAAGAGAAAGCTGAAGACCAACATATAACTAACCTAGCAAGAAAAAAGCTAACCACCAAGCTGATGGATGCAGATCCAGCAGGAAAGTGAATAAGAACCTTCTTTAAGGTTCTCCATATAAAAGCTGGGTGATGTTTTTAGTAAGTGGACACAGCAGGCCTGTATATGTAGCCTGTATCACTCTTTTCTCTCTGCTTCACTCATGCTGATGTGTGTAGTTGTGCTTCAGGCCTGTACCAGCCTGAAAGTGGACTGATGGCTGTCAATCACACCTGCTCTTTAGAATATTAGGCCACGCCCTCATCATTCTCAGACAGGTCTGATCAGCAGTGTTTTATTATATTTCTGTCTCTTTTTCAAATGTCTGTTCCCTGGGTTATGCCAAATTTGCCTGTATTTTTGACTGTATAATTTCTAGCAGGCTATATGTATGTATTGTAGGGGTGCTTACTCTTTCTCCTGTTGGTCCTGGGGGTCCATCGTGCCCAGAAGACCCCTTTAAAACAAACAAACAGAGGTCAGTGCAGGTAAGTTACTTTTATGTTAGCAGTAAAGACCCATTCATGACTTTTATGCTGTCATCACATGACACATTATTTGTGTGGAAAGTGCAGTTGGTAAAGTTTTAACCTGTCTGTTAGTAGAAGAGTAGGAAAAACACATTCTTTACATTTTTGATTTTGTTGTTATTTTCATTATGTGATGCAAATTAAATGTAAGGTGAAAAAATGACTGTAATGTCATTGTAATGGTTTTGACCTTTTCTCCCGCCTTTCCTGTGGGTCCTCTTGCGCCTCTGGCTCCACGAGCACCCTGAAGGAGATCACATACATACAGTCCAGTCATGTCAACTCAAAGTTTGTTTCTTTAGCGCTTTTTACAACAGATGTTGTCACAAAGCAGCTTTACAGGAAATCCAGGCCCAAGCCTCAAAGAGCAAGCCAATGGCGACAGTGGCAGAGGAAGGTTTGTGCACCCCCGGCCACAGTCCCCAGTCAAATTCTCTGTTTTTGTTGATTTTCTAAGCAGAAATCATCCTCTACAATGAACACGCTTAAATTTGGTCAACAACCCTCTTCCTGGAGGAGGATGGTCACCAACCCTCTTCCTGGAGATCTACTTTCCTGCAGAGTTTAGTCCCAACCAGCATCTAACCTGCCCCTCGCCTCCCCCAACACTAATGCATCTGATTCAACCAATCAAAAACCTCTGAAGAGGCTGATTAGCTGGAGCAGGTGTGGCAGACTGGAACTACATCCCCACAGGAAGGGAGATCTCCAGGACCAGGGCTGGTGACCACTGCGCTAGAAGATAAAGATGTGGACTTTTAGTCCTAACACAGCAGTGCACTGGAGGGTCCCGGGGGGCCAGTGTCCAGCACCTGAATACTCTCATCTGTTAATTTCCAGGTTTAGTGGGTGTGTTTGAGCAGGGGAACCACCAAACTGTGCTGGACACTGGCACTCCAGTACCGGAGTTGTGCACCCCTGTCTCAAAACATCTCCGAGGACACAGTGGATTTAGGGCTGCTGTTCGTGCTTTTAACCACTAGGTGTCACTAATGTGCACTGGTTTCAAAAGCTTTGAGTAATGAACCCTTTTCCAATACAATTTAAAGAAAAGCTTCACTGCTTCAGAAAGCCGTCATTAGCATTCGCAAGGGAGGTTTATTATGAGGGACGCATGAAGCTGAGTGATAACAGCCCAAAGTCAGAAAACCAGAGGATGTAAACATGGTGCAATGGGCTGAACACGGCAAAATCTAAGAAGTAGTGATGTTAGCCTTGAACCTATCATCAGTAACCATACAACACACTGACTAACCCACAACCCAACACACCACAGCTAGACACATCTGAGTGTGTGGTGGACACCACAATATTTAAGTTATACGTGAATAAGGTCATGAGTTCATCTGGAGGTCTGCTATAAATACCAGCTGTTACCATCACCTCTGAGGGGATGTAGTTTTTCCCCCATGTAACAGACCCCAGTGTCACGTTTAGGTTACTAAGACTTTGTTCAGACTGTGGGCAAATCAGATTTGTTTAAGACTGGATTTGTGTGTCCAGACGTCTGCAACCTATCTGCATGAGTTACTGTGGTAACGACATAGAAGCCAATAACTATGAATGGAATTGCACTTCAAACCACTTCCAAACGTGGTTTAGATCTGATTTGCAAAAATCAGCTTTCAAGTGTTTTTGGTGTCCAGAGTATCAAAAATTATTCTGGCTATGCCAAACATCGGATTCGGGCTGGCAGTGTGAACAAGGTTTCAGGCTGTGTTCAGACCTCCAGCCTAAATCTGATTTTTGTCTTATTCAAATTGTATCCAGATGGATTTTTTTTGATAGTCTGGACAGCAAAAAAACATCAGATTTTTACAGATCTCAAAGTGTCTCGTGTCGCTCGCAACGCGACAAACAACCAGGTAGCTACTGACGCCTATGTTGTCACCTCAGCAACCCATGCAGCTAGGTTGGTGACATCTGGCCACACAAATCTGATCGCTTGCCAATAACAGTGCAGACAGTTGACTCAAAAGATCTGATTTGATTAACAAATGCAATTTACCTGCTGTCTGGAGCCTAATTACCTTTAGTGCTTTAGAAACCAATGACAAGCTTTTAAATCACTTAAGGACAAAGATTTGGACTTTCAGGCAGGACAGAGTAGATCTGTAGCTCCTGTTCATACTTTGACCACCAGGTGTCACTAATGTGCACTGACTTTAAAAGCTTGCAGTAATGAACACTGAATATTACAGTATAAAAGGAAGCTTCACTGCTTCAGAAGGCTTTGTTTTTCCATAAATGCTTACAAGAAATACAACCCAAAAACCCATGTAGAGACAACCGAGGCTAAACACAAACAACAGCGACCTCACATCCCAATGCTGGAAAGCCCCAGTATACGTATTGGAGTTGATAGGCCTAGAATTAGGGACAGGTGGACCTCATAATGAGGGTCAGGTGATGGGTGGAGCCAGGAGGACCATGGTGAAGGAAAACAACAACAAGAGCACATGGCCTAGCCATGCAAGCTACTGCACAGGCCCAGCAGGGGGAGTATGTGACATTTTCTGCAGTATTTTAGTGTACCATGTATGCTTATTTGCTGAGTTTAACATGGGAAAAACTATATATAAAATGTGCCATAATTTTTGCACAGGCCACATTTTATGCTTTTTTTGTACATAAAATTCAGCAAATACATAGTAATTTTGTATTAAAATGAGCAGAATCGTGTCTCTATAGAGGGCATGTTAACTTATTTACACTTAGAAAATTGACAACTACATGGACTTGGGCGTGCAAACTTTTGCGAACGACTGTGTATTAAGTAATGATGAACGCTGGATGTGGACACTCACATTAGGGCCCCTTTGTCCTGCAGCGCCCGCCTGCCCTGGAGGTCCCTGAGAAAAACAAACAAACAAATAAAAACAAACAACAGATCAACATTGTCCAGTTTCTAGATCATTACAAACAGAGGAACAAACTGAAAGACGTCCGATTTAAAAGGTTGATTTCTCTTGTAAAAAATCATACAGATCATTCCTTTCGTCATTTTTTTCAAAGTGTTTTAGCTGTTTTAACTCTAGTGGTGTCTGACCTTCCTTCCTTTCTCTCCTGGAACTCCCACAGCTCCTGGAAAACCGTCTGCACCCTGACAACAGCATCACAACAACACACAGAGTTACACACATGATAACAACGTTCATATTTCAGACACTGTCGTCATGGTTTTACATCGTCATTGACTCACCTTCGGCCCTTGACGTCCAGGATATCCCGGGAGACCGGGAACACCTAGTTTACCCTGAGAGAGAAAGAGAGAAAGAGATAAATATATAGTTAAATACTGTTGTGTCATGGAGAAGAAGCGTTGGCCCTATTATCAGAAGACCATGAGTTTGATCCCTGGTGACGCTACAGCCGTCTGTGGCCGAGAGTCCAAGAAAGCACAGTTGTCCTCTTTTTCTCTGGGTGGGCAAGATGGCCCCCCTCTCCCCCCGTAACAGAACTGGTGGTTAGTGTTCTCCTCCGAGCGCGTTCAGCTGTCCAGTGACAGTTTGAACAGATGCGGTCGAGGTCTCGGAGGAAGCCCTCCTAGCACTGGTGATATCGTGTGATTGGCAGAGTCCTAACTAGTGGGTGGAATTCGAAGCAACTAAATTTGGGAGCAAATGGGAAAATGTCAATGGGGGCAGTCGTGGGCTGGAGGTTAGGCAACCAGCCTTGTTGCCGGTTTGATCCCCTGAGCCAACAGTATGTGGCCTAAGTGCCCTTGAGCAAGGCACCTAACCCCCAACTGCTCCAGCGCTCTGGGCAAATGGGCTCACTGCCCCCTGGTGTGTGTGAATTCACTAGGGTGTATGTGGTGTTTCACTGCACAGATGGGTTAAAATGCAGAGGTGGATTTTTCCCCTTGTGGGACTAATAAGGGTAACTTAAACTGCTTTTAATGGTAACCAAACCATCCCCACTCTAAATAAGCCCAAGCCCGGCACAAAATAACACAATAAACACATCACACGCTTTAAACCGAAGAACATCTACGTTAACAAGATTAAACAACAACATAAACAGTCCGTTTAGAGGGGGGGCAGGGCTACGACACGGAGTATGATTACTGCGCCCTAAAAGTCCCTCTCTTTCTGAACAGAGCATATGACAGCCACCACAATATATTAAATATATCGGTTTTCTTTTTCTTGCAAATTGAAAAGGGGCCAGTTGCTCGTTACACTGTGTGAAAAAATCACAATGAAGGGACCAAAAGAATGACTGGGAGAAACACCCGGTTCCATTAACCTCCACTGTAAATTCAGAATGTTTTCCCTTCTCCTGTAAAGTTAGCGTTTTGGACATTCAAGGTTTTGTCCCAGCAGCGACCATTTGTAACATATATAATCCAATTGACATATATTTGTAATAATTATGAAAATAATAACTCGTTTTTATTTGTATAGCATGTTTTTAAATGTATGTTTTCAAAACCTTTGAGAAGGTAATAAACTCCAGATGGAGCAGAAAAACAGAAAGCTGCTTCTCTACTTTTCGTGTTACTGCGAGAACCACCCCATTAGATGAGCTGTAACATCAGATTTGGATGAAGGTACCGAACTGATGAGAGCTTTAAAAACTAAGAGAACAGGTTGTTCGGTTCTAGAAGAAATGGTCAACCAGTGCAGCAATACGAGAACATAATCTTATTCATGTTTTTCTGCAAGGCTATAATCTTATACAGGTAAAGATAATCGTAATAAGTGTTGGTAGTTTTACCTTTTCTCCAGCGATGCCGGCGGATCCAGGGTCTCCCAGGGGTCCAGACTGACCCTTTGGGCCTTCAGGACCGTCCTCACCACGCGTCCCTGGAGGACCTGAGTCTCCCTACAGAAAGAAACACTCACCTAAACAAGGTACGTATGTGGTTGTATGTGATACAGGTTTGCATATTCATGTCTGTAGGTTTATCATCCGAAAGTTAAACGTTATGAGTCGTTACGTTGTCTCCCTTGACACCCATTTCTCCTTTCGCTCCTGGAAACCCGTCTTCACCCTAAAACACAACACAAGCCCATAAAACCATAAATCCATAACAGTCAAAGAGCTGGACTTAAAAAACAAAGCTGAAAGAAAAATGAGGTACAATTATAACGTTTGTGTAGTTTTATGTTTTAAAAACAGACATAATTCATTTCTATATGCCCATTTTCCTCCTCTTTATCCCTTAGAATAAAACAGGCTGTTTTTGTTAGTGTGGCTTCAAGATTGACAGGTAAATGAGCTCTGTTCTGATTGGCTGTGCTCTGTTCAAAAAGCCCAGGCTGAAGCACTCATAACTTCAGCGTGAATGGTGGGGCTAAACTGCTGTAGCTGAATGGTGGAGCTAAACTGCTGTAGACTGAATGGTGGAGCTAAACTGCTGTAGCTGAATGGTGGGGCTAAACTGCTGTAGACTGAATGGTGGGGCTAAACTGCTGTAGACTGAATGGTGGAGCTAAACTGCTGGAGGCTGAATGGTGGAGCTAAACTGCTATAGACTGAATGGTGGAGCTAAACTGCTGGAGGCTGAATGGGTGGAGCTAAACTGCTGTAGCTGAATGGGTGGAGCTAAACTGCTATAGGCTGAATGGTGGAGCTAAACTGCTGGAGGCTGAATGGGTGGAGCTAAACTGCTGTAGGCTGAATGGGTGGGGCTAAACTGCTGTAGGCTGAATGGGTGGGGCTAAACTGCTGTAGGCTGAATGGGTGGGGCTAAACTGCTGAACTGGGGTGTACTGAACTACAAAATGTTGAAGTTTTAAGAAACTTATTACATTTAAAAGTTCATTCGCATTTATTTGTTACATTTATCTATAAACTTGGACCGAGGCTTATCATGTTGAAACATGAACTTTGTCCATACTTCAGTCCATGTTTCTAGATAAGAGTATGAAATACAGTGTCTGATAAAGTCTGATAGTAACTAGTGGGGTATGAGCTTCCATTAGCTCTTACTTGTAGCCCCAAAGGTTTAGTTTGTTTAGACAAAGAAGGGAAACATTAGTACTTTTTTTATCTGGCGAACTGTTGTTTAAGCTCACCTTCTCTCCTTTACTGCCTTTCAGCCCTCGCAGACCATCAGCACCCTGTAGAAAATGAATCCATTAATCAGAGGGAACACAAACACAGAGGAAATAACAGATAACACAGCGATAGAGAAGATTTACCTTCACGCCTCTGGCTCCCGGATATCCAACAGGTCCCTGCACTCCCACCGAACCCTGCAGCCAAAAACAACACACTACTAAACCAACACAAACAAACATAACACTGCACCAAAACAAACAACACCACAAATCAACTTTGGCTTCGGGTCAAATCAAAGATAAACAGTGTCAATCTAGCAAACACACGGACACTCACCGGCAGGCCTTTCTCTCCTGGTGGTCCTTCTCTCCCTGGGTGGCCCTAACAAAAACAACAAAAGAAAAAAGAGTTTAGCATGTTACTATAGCAACTATGGCCACTTTATTAGAAACACCTACCTTGTACCTCCACTAACTGGCCACTTTATCAGAAACACCTATCTTGGGCTTCCATTCACTGGCCACTTTATTAGAAACACCCATGTTGTGCTTCCACTGACTGGCCACTTTATTAGAAACACCCATGTTGTGCTTCCACTCACTTGCCACTTTATCAGAAACACCTATCTTGTGCTTCCACTCACTGGCCACTTTATTAGAAACACCCATGTTGTGCTTCCACTCACTGGACACTTTCATTAGAAACACCCACCTTGTGCTTCCACTAACTGGCCACATTATTAGAAACACCCACCTTGTGCTTTCACTCACTGGCCACTTTATTAGAAACACCCACCTTGTGCTTCCACTGACTGGCCACATTATTAGAAACACCCACCTTGTGCTTCCACTGACTGGCCACTTTATTAGAAACACCCACCTTGTGCTTCCACTAACTGACCATTCCTCTCATTGCTTTTAAGATTAGAGTGTGCTGCAATAGTGTCAGAGTGAGGAGAACTGCCACTCAATAATGTCTTCCGGCTTTGTCAGACACCAGAGGGCACTCCTAAGTGTGTTCAAAATTAATGGGCTCCTAGGGAGCTTTTGTGCAAAACAGCTGTTTGTAAATGCTTAATATTAATTTCTATGCTGAAAAAAAAACTTACCAACCAATCAGCATTCAATGCCAACCAATTGACATTGCTAATGGAATATTTCCTTCTACTTCCAAAATTAAAGTAAAATCCCACATAAATGGCTAGAAGCATATTTTTTCATTTTTAGCCTTGTAGCTTTATCCATTTAGCACACTATCTGCCACTCTCTTGTGTTCTGCTGTCATGTTTTTATTAATAGGAAGGGGCCAGGCTCCCCATTAACCCTCTCAGGTAGACAATCTCATATCTATATGTCATATACAAAAGAATGAATCTTCTATGACTCTTTGACCATTCAGAGGCTGTGTTCCTGACTTGTTGACCGATTAAAGGCGGTGTTCCTGACTTGTCAACCGATCAAAGGCTGTATTCCTGACTTCCGACTGATCAGAGACTGTGTTCCTGATTTGCGACTGATCAGAGGCTGTGTTCCTGACTCACCAACCAATGAGAAGCTGTGTTCCTGACTTGTTGACCAATCAGAAGCTGTGTTCCTAACTTACCAACCAATCAGAGGCTGTGTTGCTGACTTGTCAACCAATCAGAGGCTATGAAGCTGAGTTCCTAGCTTGTCGACCAATCAGAGGCTATGAAGCTGAGTTCCTAACTTGTCGACCCATCTGACACTGTGTTCCTAACTTGTCGACCGATCAGAGGCTGTGTTCCTGACTTGTCGACCGATCAGAGGCTGTGTTCCTGACCTGTCGACTGATCAGAGGCTGTGTTCCTGACTTACCAACCAATCAGAGGCTGTGTTCCTGACTTTTCGACCAATCAGAGGCTGTGTTCCTCACTTACCAACCAATCAGAGGTTGTGTTCCTGACTTGTTGACCAATCAGAGACTATGAAGCTGTGTTCCTAGCTTGTCGACCCATCAGACGCTGTATTCCTAACTCGTCGACCGGTCAGAGGCTGTGTTCCTGACTTGCTTACCAATCAGAGGCTGTATTCCTGACTTCTCGACCAATCAGATGCTGTGTTCCTGACCTGTCGACCGATCAGAGGCTGTGTTTCTGACTTACCAACCAATCAGAGGCTGTGTTCCTGACTTGTCGACCCATCAGAGGCTGTGTTCCTGACTTGCTTACCAATCAGAGGCTGTGTTCTTGACCTGTTGGCTGATCAAAGGGCTGTGTTCCTGACTTACAAACCAATCAGAGGCTGTGTTCCTGACTTACAAACCAATCAGAGGCTGTGTTCCTGACTTTTCGACCAATCAAAAGTGGTGTTCCTGACTTACCAACCAATCAGAGGCTGTGTTCCTGACTTGTCGACCCATCAGACGCCGTGTTCCTGACCTGTCGATTGATCAGAGGCTGTGTTCCTGACTTACCAACCAATCAGAGGCTGTGTTTCCTGACTTGTCGACCGATCAGAGGCTGCGTTCCTGATCTGTCGACCGATCAGGGGCTGTGTTTCTGACTTACCAACCAATCAGATGCTGTGTTCCTGACTTGTCGACCAATCAGAAGCTGTGTCCCTAACTTACCAACCAATCAGAGGCTGTGTTCCTGACTTGTCAACCAATCAGAGACTATGAAGCTGTGTTCCTAGCTTGTCAACCAATCAGACGCTATGAAGCTGCGTTCCTAACTTGTTGACCCATCAGACACTGTGTTCCTGACTTGTCGACTGATCAGAGACTGTGTTCCTGACCTGTCGACCGATCAGAGGCTGTGTTCCTGACTTACCAACCAATCAGAGGCTGTGTTCCTGACTCGTTGACCAATCAGAGGCTGTGTTCCTGACTTACCAACCAAACAGAGGCTGTGTTCTTGATTTGTTGACTGGTCAGAGGCTGTGTTCCTGACTTGCTTACCAGTCAGAGGCTGTGTTCCTGACTCGTTGACCAATCAGAGGCTGTGTTCCTGACTCGTCGACCAAGCTTGGCTGTGTTCATGACTTACCAGTCAATCAGAGGCTGTGTTCCTGACTTATCAACCAATCAGAGGCTGTATTCCTGATTTGTCTTCCAATCAGAGGCTGTGTTCCTGACTCTTCAACCAATCAGAGGCTGTGTTCCTGACTTGACAACCAATTCATACAAATCAATCAGACGCTGTGTTCCTGACTTGTCGACGGATCAGAGGCTGTGTTCCTGACTCAACACCCATTTAGAGGCTGTGTTCTTGACTTGTCAATGGAACAATCCTACTTGTCCGGGTAAAATAAAAGTAACTCTCTAGCATGCAGCGTTCCCAAGATATTTATTCTTTTATTGAAGATATACTTTGATCGTCGACCTGAGAGGCTCAACAGACTCAGATCTTATTCAATCAAATCAGCTGCTTTCATTCTCATTTAAGATTCGAATGTGCTGCAGTGATATTCTAACATGTACCATGAACCTGCAGACTGGAGACTGCTGTGTGTTTGGGGTTAGACTGGGAGACAGCAGTTCTGAGGGCTGTGTTTGAGTATAAGTGTAAGTTTGTGCCTCACCGGTGGTCCGTCAGTTCCAGGTAGGCCCCTCATTCCTTTCTTTCCTGGTGGACCCTGGAAGATTCACCAATAAAGTGAGGGTGCACATAAACATGTATTTATACTCAGACATATTTAGTCCATTGCTGATTCAGTTTAGCATTTTGGTAAACAAACATCAAAATCGACATACCTTATCTCCTGGTAATCCGACTGCCCCCTGAGGACCCGGAAAACCCTGAAAAATAAACAGGAGATTAATTATCTGTTTGTTAGAGTAACCAAACAAAGATCAGCATTGTCCAGGCTGCGGTTCTTTATGGATGTGAAAGCTGGAAGTCCAGATGACCAAACTGAAGCTCTTATTTAGGACAAATTTTTAGAACCAATTTCTGGACAAGACATCAGAGAATTGTGAAGAGGCCATTAAGAATCCTGAAGAAGGTGGGACATTCTGAAGAAACAGTACGCATTTATGTGTATGTTTTGTTTCTTCTTATTTTCACTTCTTTGACGGTGAGGATTCACCCTCTCTTGCTTTTTCATGTGCTAATTAATAAGTCTGTTCCTCTATTTGTCAAAAACCTTTAACCAGCACCAGGAGCAACCACTGATTCTTCTTCTTCCCTTGTCTTTGGAGCTACAGCGCCACCAAATTCAAGCTGGCGCTTCAGTGTAAATACGCGGAAGGCGCCCTCTAGATGCAGTGTTTGATTTGTCTGTTCTGGGCTACTGTAGAAACATGGCAGCCTCTGTTGAAAGAGGAGCTGCTCCCTATGTAGATATGAAGGGCTCATTCTAAGCTAATGACAACACAATAATTCATAGTGACAGGTACAATAATACACTAATGAACACATGGTTTTGTAAAACACATTCCATTTCTGACAATAGATCCCCTGAAATCTTACACATTCCACTCCTCATTGTAGTTATATGGCATAGCACAATTGCTGTTCACAAAAGTTACAGCTTTAAGTGATTTTCAGTTTTCCAAAAAAATTCCCTATGAAGAAATGAATGATGATTCAAAATGTTTTAAAAGCTACCAGCATTTGGAGCAGTTCTGCACTTTCCCTCTGCATAGAGCAGAGTATGTGACCATACTGATGTAACTGTGTATGGGTGAATTCTGGGATGTGTGTGTGTACCAGAAATCCTGGGTTCCCTTGTTGACCTGGAGCTCCAGGCTCACCTGGTGACCCCTGTAAAGAACAGGAAATTACATAATTCATCTCTATTATTCAAAAACATTTATAACACAGACTGAAGGAATTTAATGACAATAATATGCAGAATTTTGTCATTGACATATGCACCACAAATGGACCTAAAGATCTATAAAAATCCACAAGGCTGCAAAAAAAACAACAGTTGATAAAAATAAGTATTGCACAGAAAAAACGAATGAAATAAACATTCTACAGTTTCTTTTAAGGTTTAATGAATAACCGGCTCTAAATGTAGGTATTGTGATATAAACTGAATCTGTTCTACAGTTTCTCATTAGGCTGAATGAATAACCGACTCTAAATGTAGGTATTGTGATATAAACTGAGGCTGTTCTACAGTTTCTCATTAGGCTGAATAAATAAATAACTGACTCTAAATGCCATACAGCAGCAATGATTTCCGAAGATGCACTATAAATTAAACATTGGCACAGAAATATAATTAATAAGACCTTATCTACTAAGAAGCATGATACCCACCCGGTTTCCCTTTGCACCCTGAACTCCATCAACCCCACGGCTCCCCTGAGAAAGGTGAAGGATTACACAGAAATCTTCATTTAATGTCATTTTTGATTGATTAGTCTGTCTTATAACAACAATATTAGATTGAACAGAATGATATTTGTGTATGTGTGTTACCCACAGTCAGTCCTGTAGGTCCAGGAAGTCCTCTTGGCCCAGTCAAACCCTGCAAGCCCTGCAGGAAACAAAGAAGTAAACATATCAACAAACAATTAAACCCAACACATTCACTATTCTACAACTGCCTTTATAAACTACTGCTGCCACTGTACACTATATGGACAAAAGTATTGGGACACCTCCACATCACACCTACAGGAGCTTCTATGAATCCCATTCTAAACCCATAGGCATTAATATGGAGTTGGTCCCCTTTGCTGCTCTAACAGCTTCCACTCTTCTGGGAAGCTTCTACAAGATGTTGGAGAGTTTGTGGGAGTTTTTGCCCATTCAGTCAGAAGGGCATCTGTGAGGTCAGACACTGATGTTGGATGAGAGGGTCTGGCTCACAATCTCCGTTCTAGTTCATCCCAAAGGTGTGTGATGGGGTTGAGGTCAGGGCTCTGTGAGGGTCAGTCAAGTTCTTCCACACCAAACTCACCCAGCCATGACTTTATGGAGCTGCTTTGGTCACTGGGGCTCAGTCATGCTGGAACAGGAAAGGTTCTTCCCCAAACTGTTCCCACAAAGTTGGAAGTGTACAATTGTCCAAAATGTCTTGGTGCTGAAACCTTAAGATTTCCATTTTTTCTTTCTCCAGGCATTCGCCAAAACTACAGCTGCAGTTGTAATCTACTGCTGTCATTATAATGTACAGCTGCCGTTATAATCTACTGCTGCCATTATATTCTACAAACAATTTTATCTAGTGGTGCCTTTAAAATTCCCTGCTGCCATTATAATCTCCTGCTGTCAATGTAATCTGCTATAATCTACAATGTAATCTGCTATAATCTACTGCTGTCAGTGAAAAATGAGTTTAATCCCTCTGATATACTGTGATTGTGTCATAAACAGAGTAAATACACACAGGCTCTCCTGGCTGGCCTCTTGGTCCTGGCTGACCATCTGAACCCTGTGGAAAAAAAAACAGTATGATGAATGTTTGATTATATGAACAACTGTCACTGTATGTTTTTTCACGCACACAGACCAACATTCAGACAGAAAGCTCTTACTTTTTCTCCAATCTCCCCCGGTGGACCAGCAGGTCCTCGTCTTCCCTGCTCTCCCTGCAAAAACACATCAGTACAACACTCACCACGTGATATTAAAACGCGTCATAGATATATCATCATGTGACAGAAGAACACATAGCAGCTGCCATTATAATCTCCTGCTGCCATCACAACCCACTTTAGCTGTTAAGTCTCCACATGCGGTTATAATTTACTGCTGCTGTTAAATCTACAGTTGCCTTTATAATCCAGCTTTGCTGTTACATCTGCAGCTGGTATTATAATCTCCTGTGTTTACAAGCAAAAATCCACTGCTGTCATTAATTCTATGGCTGCTATTATAAATTATTGCTGCTGTTATAATCTCTTATTACCATTAAAATCTGCTGCTGCTCTTGTAATCTACTGCTGCCACAATAATCTACTACTGCTATTACAATCTACAACAACCATTATAATCTACTGCTGCTGTAATAAAATACAAGTGCCATTATAATCTACAGCAGCCATTATAATCTACTACTTCTATTATAATCTACAGCAGCCATTGTAATTTACTGCTGCTGTAATAATCTACCACTGCTATTATAATCTACAGCGGCCATTATAATCTACTACTTCTATTATAATCTACAGCGACCATTATAATCTACTGCTGCTGTAATAATCTACCACTGCTATTATAATCTACAGCAGCCATTATAATCTACTACTGCTATTATAATCTACAGCAACCATTGTAATCTACTACTGCTATTATAATCTACAGCAGCCATTATAATCTACGACTGCTATTATAATCTACAGCAGCCATTGTAATCTACTGCTGCTGTAATGATCTACTACTGCTATTATAATCTACAGCAGCCATTGTAATCTACTACTGTTATTATAATCTACAGCAACCATTGTAATCTACTACTACTATTATAATCTACAGTAGCCATTGTAATATACAACTGCTATTATAATCTATAGTAGCCATTGTAATCTACTGCTGCTGTAATAAGATACTACTGCTATTATAATCTACAGCAGCCTTTTTAATCTACTACAGCTATTATAATCTACAGCAGCCATTGTAATCTATTGCTGTCATAATAAACTGCTATTGCGATTACAGTCTAAAGCAGCTATTATAATCTACTGCTGCCATAACAGACTACTAATGCTATTATAATCTACAGTTGTCATTATATCCTACTGCTGACATAATAAACTGCTACTGCCATTACAATCTAAAGCGGCCATTATAATCTACTGTTGCTGTAATAATCTACTACCACTATTATAATCTACTGCTGTCATAATAAACTGTTACTGCCATTAAAATCTACAGCAGCCATTATAATTTACTGTTGCTGTAATAATCTACTACCACTATTATAATCTACTGCTGTCATAATAAACTGTTACTGCCATTAAAATCTACAGCAGCCATTATAATTTACTGCTGCCTTAATGATTTACCACTGCTATTATAATCCACAGCAGCCATTATAATCTACCACTGTCGTAATAATCTACTATTACTATTATAATATACAGCTTCCATTATAATTTACTGCTGCCATAATGATTTACTACTGCTACCCTAATCTACAGCTGCCATTGTAATCTACTGCTGCCGTAATGATTTACTATGATTTACAGCTGCCATTATAATCTACTGCTGCCTGAATGATTTACTACTCCTACCCTAATCTACAGCTGCCTTTATAATCTACTGCCACCGAAATAAACTACTACTGCTATGATATTCTACGGCAGTCATTATAATCTACTGCTGCCGTTATAGCCTTGTGCTGAAATTATAATCTACAGCAGTCATTATAATCTACTGCTGCCACTACAGTATCCTGCTGAAATTATAATCTACGGCAGTCATTATAATCTACAGCTGCCATTATAGCCTCCTGCTGAAATTATAATCTACGGCAGTCATTATAATCTACTGCTGCCACTACAGTCTCCTGCTGAAATTATAATCTAGGGCAGTCATTATAATCTACTGCTGCCATTATAGCCTTGTGCTGAAATTATAATCTAGGGCAGTCACTATAATGTACTGCTGCCATTACAGTCTCCTGCTGAAATTATAATCTAGGGCAGTCATTATAATCTACTGCTGCCACTACAGTATCCTGCTGAAATTATAATCTACGGCAGTCATTATAATCTACTGCTGCCATTATAGCCTTGTGCTGAAATTATAATCTAGGGCAGTCACTATAATGTACTGCTGCCATTATAGCCTTGTGCTGAAATTATAATCTAGGGCAGTCACTATAATGTACTGCTGCCATTACAGTCTCCTGCTGAAATTATAATCTACGGCAGTCATTATAATCTACTGCTGCCATTATAGCCTTGTGCTGAAATTATAATCTAGGGCAGTCACTATAATGTACTGCTGCCATTATAGCCTTGTGCTGAAATTATAATCTAGGGCAGTCACTATAATGTACTGCTGCCATTATAGCCTTGTGCTGAAATTATAATCTAGGGCAGTCACTATAATGTACTGCTGCCATTATAGCCTTGTGCTGAAATTATAATCTAGGGCAGTCACTATAATGTACTGCTGCCAATATAGCCTCCTGCTGAAATTATAATCTACGGCAGTCATTATAATCTACTGCTGCTGTTACTGTCTCCTGCTGAAATTATAATCTACGGCAGTCTTTATAATCTACTGCTGCCGTTACTGTCTCCTGCTGAAATTGTAATCTACGGCAGTCATTATAATCTACTGCTGCCACTACAGTATCCTGCTGAAATTATAATCTGTAATATGCTGTCATAATAATCTACATCGGCCAATGAGATCTATTGCTTCATGTACAATCTACTCCTGTCACTGCAATACGTCACTGTGATTATAATGTACTGATTTCGTTACAATTGTCTACTGTCCAATTTATAATCTCCTGCTGTCAGTCTCATCAGTCATGATGTCATCATCAACACTCTTGGTGTGGTTTCTCTTACTCTGTGGCCTTTGTTTCCAGGGAGACCGGGTAAGCCATCAAACCCCCTGTCACCCTGAGGGGGAGGATAGAGGAACAGAGAGAGAATGATGATGGGGGAGAGAGAGAGAGAGAGAGAGAGAGAGAGAGAGAGAGAGAGAGAGAGATGACTGGTTGTCTGCATGGTTATTTTAAAGATTAGCCATTCAATGAGAGACTGAATGACGGGTGGGTCTTTAACTGTTAAATGCAAGGTGTTTTTCTAATGGGTTTGTATGGAGTGTCTCATAGCAGAAGCTCATCTGCTATAATGTAAACACAGCATTTACAAACTGATCTACGAACGATACAGTAAAAGTTTCAAAGCATTCTACGGGCAGCAGGTCACCTGAGTTAGGCACTTTAGGGTTAATACTGACTTCATAGGTTTGCATTCAGTATGATGACTTTGATATACAGCGCTGTACCAAGGTCAGAGACTATTTCCAGTCAAACAGCCATTAAATTCAAGTTATTCATTTTCAGCATCACGAAGCAAATATTTAACAGAAAATGACTCAGAAGCCTCAACAGCTAACTCCAGTCTCAGCTGTGTGAGTCAGTGAGTCACTCTTTCCCTCTATTCCAGCTTCCATTCTTCTCAGGAGACTCACTTTCAGTTCCTCAAAGAATCTGCAGACACACCTCCAAAGTTCAGTCTTAGAAGCTGGTTGATCATTTTCTGAAGTAATCAAACACATTCAGTGGTGTTGAGGTCTGGACTCTGGGGTGGTCAGTCCATCGTTCAGCTTCTTTGTTTGATGTGTCCGTCTCCTTTTCTCAGTGAGGTTCTTCTTGATCAGCTACACATCCTTTCAGACCCACAGCGCTGAGTCGTCTTCTCACAGTGGAAGGATGGACAGAAACACCTGTGGATGTTTTCAGATCTGAAGCAGCTTGATTTTCTCCTCTCTCTCAGAGATGAAAGCTTTAAGTGCTGTTTATCTGATGGGGGCAGTTTTGGGGTCGACCAGGTCTTCCAGGTGGTTGTTAGGAGGAACATTTTCTCTGTAGCTTTTAAAAGTTTTTGAACTCCAGTTTTGTTTTTCACTTTGTCTTTCCTTATGCAAGTGGATTATCACATGACTAATCTTCTCACAAACATTTGAAAAATGAATAATTTGTACTTAATCACTGTTTTGACTGGAAAATAACAAAGGGGCTTGCACTTTTGCACCATACTGTAGTATATCAGATCACAGGATATGTGTGTGTGACGTACTTTAGCTCCTGTCTCTCCTGGTTCTCCTCTACTACCGTCTGTGCCATCACGCCCCTGATGACACACACAGGAACAGATATGAGCAAATTAATGTAATTAATATGAGTAAATTTGACAGTATTTAGTAATGTTGTTTATTTGCTCTACGTGTCTCACCCTTTTGCCGGGCTTTCCGCTTGGTCCTGAAACACCAGGCAATCCACGAGGACCCTGAGAGAGAGATGTTTTTGTTTGAGAGCCTTCCAAAGAAATGGGCTAACCAGCAGTACAATAAAAATGATAAATTAATGAGTAAATTAATGAGAACAGGATTTAATTCTACATTGTTTCTTTTAGCCTGTTTGTCTTAAAGTTTTGAAACAGTCTAAACTGCAGCTGGCAGTTTCAAATTATGTTTAAAAAATAAAAATGATCAAAAAATCCAGACGTGGTTTTAATGATATAACATAAGGTTACACCGAAATTTCAGCTATCAGAACATTTTGGCCGAAAATGATCAACAGTGGCATTTTCAGTTTTCATCCAAAAGAGAAAAACGAAATATCAAATAGGACAACAAAGTGTCAAAATCTGACACTTAACACATAATCTTATAATAATAATGAACATGAAACACATGAAAAAAAACTCAGCACAGACACGATCAGTTTGATCGGCAGATCAACAGTGAAAATATCAGCCATGCACTGTAGCCCTTAAACTGTAATCATTTCATCAAGTTTATTTTCTGTAAACTGTTTTGTTCTATCGAAAAACAGATTTTTGTTGTATATTGTTTTTATTATGTTGTACTTTTATGTTTAGTACGTTTATGTAAAAATTCACTTGTGCAAATTTAAAAAAAATACAAAAACATTTGGTTTCATTTTTGGCCAAGAATTTTCATTTCAGTTTCATTTTTAGCTAGGATTTTTTTAATTTCAGTGAATATATCTGTCTAGTAATGTGAAGTAGCTGTAAACAGTGCCCCCTACTGGTGGTCCAGGCAGGCCGCCGTCCCCTTTCAGCCCTGTCGGCCCCGTCAGACCCTGAAAAAAACACAGACAGCGTTTAAACACACACATTTAAACCCAGACGCAAAATGAGGCTCTTTACAAAAATTAAACACCTCTGAATTCTGAAGTTATATTCCACTGATTCAGTCAATTCAAACGAGTCATTTAGTGAACTGATTCAGAATCATCCAGACTGGATCACTTGATTGACTCTGTATTATAAGTTCGGTAGTTCACAAAAGTCACAGTGTCACATCTATAATGAACACTGACAGGAGATGCTGAGATTTTAAAACTGTCTTCAATCTAAATCATGTTTTCTTTGTAATAACTGACCACATTAAAGCTAAGTGGGTTTATTTAGAGGGAAACAATGTCACACCACACTTTGATGAGGGCTACATGTAAATAAAGTAGTAAAAATACCTACTTTAGGCTAAACCTTTGCAGGGATTTGTTCTGGTTCTGATTGGTCTAAATTGATACAGTCTGGTATAGTTATACTTTAAACAAACAGCTACTGCAGGTACATTTTTCATTCATCAAAGTACAAACAATGTAAATGTTCCCTCAGAGGTACAACAGTGAAGGGATTCCTGAAGTGGGGGTGCCGAGGGGGCTGTAGCAATCCCGATTTCAGGAAAAATATTTATAATAATAAAACGTTCTGAACTTTATAATGATTTGAGTGTAGTGTAGAGCCTAGTGGGCTTGTTTTAGAGTGAAGTTTGTATTTTTATATTTAACACCGAAAATTGCTGGGAGCTTTGGGGACGCGTCACTGAAACACACGCAGCTTCAAACGTACAGAGGGAAAGTGTGTGCAGAGCTGTGGGCCAGTTCTGAGCCTGTTTTTGAACTTAAAATAATCATCAAATGCAATAAAGGCTTTTGGTCAACTGTTAAATCTCCCACTCGGTGTCCAGTGTTAAATCTCACTGTGTGACCATGTGCCATACTTCAACAATCTGACTGGTCACCGCTCAGTCCACTTGCATAAAGTTCACCCAGAATAAGGGAGCAGAGTGAGGATGTGCATCAGCAGACTAATCTGTCAATTATATGTATATCTTGTCGCCTCATTACAGCGTATTATTATGACACATTTCGTCTAATGTAAATTAGCAAAAGACTCAAATGGAAAAAGGCAAATCATTTCGTGTGACGTCATCATTTACGTCACATGTATTGCGTGATCTTTCAGCGGCCTCTTTCCTGTGTCCCTGCAGCAGTGGATTTAAGGTATAACTCAGGTGTGCCTCACATATGTTTCTCCCAGGTGAAACGTCCATATTTATACCTTTTCAAAAACTAACGTTTTAAAATAGAGCAATAAAATATCCCACCCAGTGACAAGGGGTACCACCTCAGTGATGAGGGATACCACCCCAGTGACGAGGGGTACCACCTCAGTGATGAGGGATACCACCCCAGTGACGAGGGGTACCACCTCAGTGATGAGGGATACCACCCCAGTGACGAGGTGTACCACCTCAGTGATGAGGGATACCACCCCAGTGACGAGGGGTACCACCTCAGTGACTAGGGGTACAACCCCAATGAAAAGGGGTATCACCCTAATGATGAAGGGTACCACCCCAGGGACAAAGGGTACCACCTCAGTGACTAGGCGTACTACCCCAGGGACAAGGGGTACCACCCCAGTGATGAGGAGTACCACGCCAATGACGAAGGGGAACCACCCTAATAATGAGGGGTACGACCCTAGTGATGAGGAGTACTATCCCAGTGACGAGAGGTACTACCCAAGTGATAAGGTGTACCACCCCAGTGATCAGGAGAACCACCCCAGTGACAGTTTAGTACCTTTTCTTCTGAGAGTCCTGCAGTACCCCATTTGACTTTTTTATTACATGCAATTCTCATACTTTATTGGATCTTCTATTGTTTTGTACTATCAGCAGTATCATGTAACCTAAAGATTGAAAAAAGTGATAAAAACTCACTTTCCAGCCTTATGGTTTGATTGATTTCTTCAGCTTTGTACTGAGGGCTCTGAGAACTAGACCAACTGAAGTTTGACATTTTGGACATGGACATTAAGGGGCTAACTGAAAAGAAACAGTGACAATTTGGAAAAATTTCAAAAGGAAGTAAACTTTTGGTTTACATGCAGCCTGTCTGGTGTAGTTCAGTACAAATGGTCAGATTAATTCATGCAGAGCTCTGAACAGTACAGAATTCAGACACTAGAGGGCAGTGCTGCATACAAAATCACAGTAAGAGCCCTTTAGTGGGGTGTGTGGTTACAGCACTGCACAATTTAGAGCAGGGGTGGCAAAACGTTTGTCTTGGGGGTTGGGGGTTTTGGGGGAGACAGCAAAGTGCAGTATTAGTGGGCCATTTTACTATATTTTAATACTAAAATACTTCAAAAATGCAAACTACAAATTTAATGTGTTCTATATAGTATAAAAATATTGTTGCTCTCATGCAAAAACCCTGCATCTCCATTTTTACCCTTTTTTATTTTTTGGACAGTTTGAAAATCCGAGTCATTCTTCACATTGCGTCCCAATTTTATGATGAAATGCCCCAAAATTACTTGGAAAAAATCTAGTTACACTGACCACCATTAGAAGTTAAGAATGTTTTTGCCGCCTTCTGTAAAGGTACCATTTTGGAAATATGAGGTTTTGGTCTGACAGCAATGATATGTTCTCTCATTGGGGGTGAGGGGTGGGCTTCGGGTAATTTACTGGTGGGCTGTTCTGGTTTAGAGTCCGCTCGGTTTATTGCAGTTTGGGTTGAACACTCACCAGCGGTCCTGGACGTCCAGTTAGTCCTAATGGTCCTGGTGGCCCTTTCAAAGCGAGCTGTGACAAACAAACAAATTACATTTTTTCATTAGCTTTGTTAGACATGGTTTCCCTTCTTTGTGTCCTGTCCCACACACAAAAATATATATATTTGAAATATATTTCTGTTACATATTGATAGAATATAGTATGTAAATAACTGAAATCAACCTGGTATATATGTCACTCAAATATATGCATAAATATTCTGAATGTAAATATCACAATACATGTTAAAAACAAGTATAATTTGTGTGTTGAGTTTCAAATCCATTTTGAAATGAAACAATACAAATATATATATTATTATATACAATTCTTATCTGCATATTACTCTTTAATATATGTCAAAATACATTTTAGTAAGAAACGTGTTTACACTATTATTTGAGCATATATTGCAAAAGAAATAATATTGTAGCATATCGCTACTGGCTCACGCTGCTGTAGAGTCTTGGGAGGCATGACCATGCGAAGAGCCATGCGAGGAGGCCTGTGTGAGGCGAATGCTCTCCAGGAAAGGGAAGAATTGTTGTTTTTGTTCTGTTAGATTAAGTGTGTATGTGTCACCTATGTTATTGTGCGTCTGGCACTGGGCTTAGATAGTTGGGTTGATTGTCTACCATGAAGCAGAGAAGTATGGCTGGTGATGACCTCCCTGCTATTCGTGCTATGTTGTTATATGCATTTCTGCCCTGGTGTTAACAAAAAAAAGCCTTCCATGTCTCCTTCTACACTGATGCCACAGTGGTGTCAGAAGTGGGTTAATGCCCCCGAGCATTATAGTGGTGCTTCAAAGAACTTAAAGACAAAAGATCGCTGTGGTGGGGACAGCACTGCAGGGCTCCACAGGGAAGACGCCGGCATCGGAAGGCTCGAAAAATGGGGCTGCCGCAGGAAGACAAAAACAATCAAAGGCTTCAGTGTGGAAGCACCACAGCAAGCAGTGGAGTGCTTGGTGAGCCAGAACTGCAGAGACAGAGGACACCATGCTTCTGGGGGACTGTCCTACTTCAGAGCACTTCTCGTGGTGGAAATATAACCTGTTCAGTGTCTCCTTCTATGCGGACACCACAATATACTTAGATATGACTGTGAATATCTTATAATGCATTTGTCGAATATGCTCTTTACTATAAATTTTGGACTATGTGGTCAAAAGTATGTGATTAATTTGAGCCCGTTCAGTCAAAAGAGCATTTGTGAGGTCAGACACTGGTGTTGGATGAGAGGGCCTGGCTCACAATTGATGTTCCAGTTCATCCCAAAGGTGTTCAGTGGTGTTGAGGTCAGGGCTCTGTACAGGCCACTGGAGTTCCTCCACACCAAACTGGTCACTCCATGTCTTTATGGAGATGCTTTGTGCTCAGGGGCTCAGTCATGCTGGACCAGGAAAGGTTCTTCCCCAAACTGCTGACACAAAGCTGGAAGCAGATAACTGTGTAAAATGTCTTTGTGCTGCAGCATCAACATCACCCTTCACTAGAACTGAGAAGCTCCAGCCCTGAGAAACAGCCCAGCCCATCATCCCTCCTCCACCAAACTCTACTGTTGGCTCTGCATTCTGTTAGGTAATGTTCTACTGACATCCACCAAACCGAGATTCATCATCAGACTGACAGATAGAGAAGCTGATTCATCACTCCAGAGAACACGGTTCCACTGCTCCAGAGTCCAGTGGCGGCGCTTTACACCACTCCAGCCGACGCTTGGCATTGTGCATAGAGATCTTAGACTTAGGCACAATTCTTATGCTGATGTTGCTGTCAGAGGCAGTTTGGTGAGTTCCCTCTGTGAGTTCCAGTGGTCTGCCGCTTTGTGGCTGAGCCATTGTTGCTCTTAGATGCCTCCGTTTCACAATAAAAGCACTTACAGTTGTCAGTGGCAGATCTAGCAGAGCAGAAATTTTACAAACTGACTTGTGGCAAAAGTGACCTATGACGGTGCCACATTTAAAGTGAATGAGCACTTCAGTACGACCCATACTACTGCCAGTGTTTGTGATGGGCACTCCTGTGTTTCCTGCATTGTTTACTTAGAGGATTTCTGTGTTGTTTATATTTGGAAGTGGAAGTTTCTGGAAGGTAATCTAGAGAACAACGTTGTTGTTGTTTACTGAGATTTCTGTGTTGTTAGAAGATATCTTGCCTTGGCGTGCTGTAGGATGGCCTGAGCCTGAGCTTCTTGAGCCGAAACCACTGGCACCTTCTGACCATCTCCACCAGACTGGAACTAAGAGAAACAGAGAGATATTGTATTTTAATTTAATCTTAGACATATCAAAAATATATGAAATATTTAGGACACTGGCTGTTTCAGACAACTGACCTGTTCAGTTTCAGTCAGACTGTACTTCATACCAGTGTACGAAATATCCCCTGGTATTCAGGGGGGTCGCATGTTGGCTGGCTACTCTAAATGCACTGGACATGCCACACTGCGTCACACAGTGTCCAAAAAATTTGAACGTCACTACATTAAATTAAAGCCATATCAAGATCACAGAAAGCCACAGTAGATCACATGTGGCTTGAAATTTACAGAGAAAGGCAGTCAGTCTTAATAAACATACACAAGTTACCTCAGCTAACAAGTTACCTCAGCTAACGTGACTAGCTTAGCCTTTTTCAGCTCATATCTTTCAGATCCAAAACAGGAAGTAAACTGATACAAAGGATGAAAAGTGATGTTGGACACTTCATTTCATTCAGTTTACATCAAAACAGTGAACTCTCAAAAATGAACTGTCTCTGCTGGCATTCTATAGCAGCGCTCTGCTACTTGGCGCTAAGTGATGCTACGTGATGCTATGTGACACTGTGTGTCCAGTGGCCTTTACTCACTCGCCATAGCAGTGCTGGTGCTAAATTAAATGGCAACACAATGTTTGTTTTATCAGTCGTTCTTCTGTAAAGTCTCTGTTCTAGTGTGGTTCTGCGAGAGTTGATCACTGTAATGATCTTCTTACTGAACTTCCTAAGAAAACTATACGTCCCTTACAACTCGTACAAAATGCGGCAGCATCCTAACAAACACAACACAGAGAGATCAGATCAGTCCTGTTTTAAAAGAACTACACTGGCTACCTGTATCATTCAAGATAGATTTTAAAGTTCTGCTACGAGTGTTTAAAGCTCAAAATGACCGCTAACATCACAGAGTGTCTGTCTGTTTATGTTCCAGCACGTAATCTAAGATCTGCAGACAGTGGCCTTCTACAGACACCCTCTGTACAATACAGAAAACATGGAGAGACTCTTTCAGTTATTCTGCTTCTAAACTGTGGAACTCAATTCCCCCTTTTATTAGACAGTCAAGCTCAGTGCTCACTTTAAAGAAGCATCTAAAAACGCAGCTCTTTAACTCAGCATGGTTTTTATCTTCTAATTTAATCTTTCATTTTCGTCTGATTCTAAATAAATACTAATGATTTCTTGTACTATGTTTTATCACCTGTCTGTAAAGCCCTTAGAGCTGCCACCGCCATGAAAAGTGCTCTATAAATAAAATTATTATTATAAACAATGAGCTTCACTGAATCTGGATTTGAGTGTCAAATTTGACAGAATAATGTCTTAATAAGTTTATCTTCAGGGACCCCCAGAATTTAGATTTTTACATTCAGGGGGTCCAAAAGGTTAATTAGGGGGTCCTGGGTGGTCTACCTTGCTTTCACACCTTGATTTATACAACTAAATAGCCCCTTACTGACCTCCTTCCATCATTCTGGTTCCGCCCCCTTATTATCCTCATCACATGTTGCTTAATCAGATCATTTGTCTCAGGTTTTGTTCTCGGCTTTTTTACTGTATTTCTTGTTTTTAGGATTTGTGAATTTTCTTGCTTATGTTTATTGATTGACACTTGCATTTTGTTCATCCGTCCCTGACTTTGGTAATAATGCTCTTTTCTTGGATTTCTAATAAATTGGATTTCTAATAAACATCTTTTCTAATAATTTCTTGACTGAATTTCATCCAGTGGAAATACTTCAGTTTAGCCAAATCCAACAGGAATGCTGAGATGTTTTTCTATTACTGTCATTGTAGTTTTCATAAAAAAACATTTAGCATTTTTTGATTAATTGATTAGAAGGTAACTAAAGATTTATTGAAAATGTAATGATAGATAATGTCACTAACCTGGCTAATTTGGGAAAAAAAAACAGCTGGTCTGACTCAGTGAAAAAAACTGAGTTCCCAAAACTACAACTACAGAATCAACTCTGTAAATGTACTTAGTTGCCACCTAGTGGTGAGAATCATGTACTCATGTAGCACTCCCAGTCTCTCTATTCCTCTCTCTCTCTCTCTCTCTCTCTCTCTCTCTCTTTCTCCCTCACTCTTCTTTCTCTCTGTCTTTCTCATTATCTTTGTCTCTTCTCTTCACTCTCTTTTCTTTGTCTGTCCTTCTTTCTTTCTCTGTTTTGTCTCTCTACCCCCCTCCCTTTCTATTTTTCCTTCAATTCTCTCTCTCTCTCTCTCTCTCTCTCTCTCTTTCATACCGGTAACATTAGCATGTTTCCTGGAGGTCCTGGTATCCCATCAGCCCCTGCAAGCCCCTGTCGACCAGGAGGACCCTAAGAGAGTGATAGAGAGAGATGAGAGAGAGACCACAGAGAGAGAAAGGAGATAGCGAGGAGAGAGGGAGAGAGACAGAGACAAAGAGAGAGAGGAGAGAGAGAGGTGTGAAAGACAGAGAGAGAGAGAGAGAGATAGAGAGAGAGAGAGGGGAGAAGAGAGAGAAAGAGAGAGAAAGAGAAAGAGAGAGAGAGAGAGAAGAGAGAGAAAGAGAGAAAGAGAAAGAGAGGGAGGAGAAGAGAGAGAAAGAGAGAGAGAGGAGGCATGAAGAAAAGAGAAAGAGAGAGAGAGAGAAAACAGCAGGGAGAATAAAGGTTACTGTCCACACCTCACAGAGATGATGACGTACGTCTGTGTGTGTAAATGTGGATGTGGTACCAGATCTCCTGGATCTCCTCTTGGTCCTGGGGGTCCCATTGGGCCAGGTTCTCCAGGAGGACCCTGTGAAGAGCAGACAAAACACACACTGTATACTTCCGCACACACACACACACACACACATGCTGAGACAGGTGCACACATGCTCAGTAGACGTTACCTCAGGGCCTGGGGGTCCGTGGGGTCCTTCAATCAGAGTGCCCTACATAACACCAGAAACACACTGTTATCTTCTCACACACACAGAGAGAGAGAGAGAGAGAGAGAGAGAGAGAGAGAGAGAGAGAGAGAGAGAGAATACTTGCTTGCTTTTGAAGATACAGAATAAAACTTAATCCTCTGATTTATTGTGAACAGAGGTAGAAACAGGGCAGCGTCTACTACACTAATCCAGGTTTCACACCTACTCCATTCCTTAAAGTCCGCACCAGAGTTTGTATCTTTTTTTCCATTTAGTTTGACATTGACACTACAGCTGCTATGGCACACCAAATAACTTGATTGCTGTAGTTGTAAATTTGTAGGTCTAGTCAGAGAAAAAGGCCCTTATTCGTTAGCTAACTTGGTGGGGGGGCACCTCTAATGCATTCAAAGGACTTTAGACGCCCCTGAGTTACATCAACAGGCCAGTTAATTTAATGGTAAAATACAAGACTGCAAACTGACCTCTCTCCTGGATGATCTAATGATCTGGATGTGTGTTGGAGCCAAAATGTATGATCTGTTTTGTCTTCATTTAGTTAGTCCAGACACTCATCAAGACAATTCAATGAGCACATGTTGTCGGGCTTTAGATGAAGATAAAGTTGAGTGTTTTTGATGTAAAATAAATTATTTATACCTCCAAACTATACGGAGAAGGATATACGTTGTAAAGAGAATAGGCCCTAATATAGAACCCTGGAGGACTCCATAGCCAGTAGCCAGTGGCAGCAACAGATGAAATAAAATTACTGAGAAGGTCCGATGATATAAATAAGACTTGACCCTGCTTAAAAATGTCCTTTGCAGCCCAACCATGTGCTCAAAGCTGTGAGCAATAGTATAGAAATGGGCTTATACTGATCAAAAAAACACCTTACTTGATCTCCACTTCTTTGTGATTGATGGGTTTAATTATGCAACAGTTTGAATGTAACCAAGTAGGCCTCTGATGTCCATCCCAGCCTATCAAAAATACTTTCTGCAGCCCATGTGACAAAATCTAATGCTTTGTTTTCCACTCAGCAGCAGTCCGACCATGGGCAACGTGCATGCTCATGTCAAAACTGAACTAAAGAAACGTTCATAGGTCTGCACCAAACAAGGTTTCCACTTCTATAAATTTAACCATTTTACGTATTATACAAAGATTTGTTTTTCAGAACATGTACAGTTTTAGTAGAACAAAAACAGACGTGTTAATGATCTCACCAATCCTAAGACTGCAGGTTCTCCTTTCTGACCTTTCTCTGGTCCTGCAGGACCCTGGAACCACAAATAAAACAAGATGAGCTGAGGTCAGAAAATCACACCTAAAGCAGTTAGAGAAGATAGAGGGATAGATTAATATATACACTTCATGTCCAAAAGTCTGCAGATGACCCTTCTAATGAATGGACTGAGCTGCTTTAATGTGCACCCATTGCTCATCCATGTGTTATATGCTGGAACACAGCCATGTAATCTCTCCAGAGCTTTGGGATATGATGGACTGATAAAGCTTTGCTGAACACCTGTGGTATGTGTTGGAGTAATGAAGCTCCACTGAACTCCTTTAGGTTGGAGTTAGAGTGATGAACATAGAGCACCTCCGGGATGATTTGGAGTGACAAAGCTTCATTGAACATTTAGGGCAGGGGTGCAGAATCCTGGTCCTGGAGATGTACCACCCTGCAGGGTTTAGCTCTAACCCTAGACATCATGAATATAAGAGCCAGGTGTGTTGGATCTCCAGTGTGGTAGATCTCCAGGACCAGGATCGGGCTCTCTCGATCTATAGGAAGAGTTGGAGTGATGAAGCTCCACTGAACACTTAGTGGGTATGTTAGCATGACAAAAAGCCTATTAAACAAACTCGGGATGAGTTGAAACGATGAAGCTCCACTGACCTCCTTTAAGAGAGTGATGAGCTTAATTAACTCTGTTGAGATTAGCTGGACTAATGAAGCTCTACTGAAGAACTTTAGGATGAGTTGGAGTAATGGAGCTCAACTGAACTCCTTTGAAATTAGTTTAAGTGATGAAGCTCAACTGAGGAACTCTGGAATGAGTTGGAGTGATCAAACCCCACTGAACTCCTTTAGGGAGAGCTGGAGTGCCGAACACAGAATAACTTTGGGATGAGTTGGAGTGACGAAACTCCATTAAATCATTTGGGATGAGTTGGAGTGATGAAGCTCCTCTGAGGAACTCTAGAATGAGTTGGATTGATGGAGCTCCTCTGAAGAACTCTGGAATGAGTTGGAGTGATGAAGCTCCATTAAACCATTTGGGATGAATTGGAGTGATGGAGCTCAACTGAGGAACTCTGGAATGAGTTGGAGTGATCAAACTCCATTGAACTCCTTTAGGGAGAGCTGGAGTGCTGAACACAGAATATCTTTGGGATGAGTTGGAGTGACGAGACTCCATTAAATCATTTGGGATGAGTTGGAGTGATGAAGCTCCTCTGAGGAACTCTGGAATGAGTTGGAGTGATGAAGCTCCATTAAACCATTCGGAATGAATTGGAGTGATGGAGCTCAACTGAACCTCTTTAAAATTAGTTGGAGTGATGAAGCTCCACTGAACCGTTTGGGATGCGTTGGAGTGATGGAGCTCAACTGAGGAGCTCTGAAATGAGTTGCAGTGATCAAGCTCAATTGAACTCCTTTAAGGGAAGCTGGGGTGCTCAACACAGAACACCTTTGGGATGAGTTGGAGTGACGGAGCTCCACTGAACTCCTTTGAAATTAGTTAGAGCGATGAAACTCTATTAAAGACATGTGGGATGTGTTTCAGTGGCTTTTGTGATCCAGGACTGATCATCCAACATCAGTACCTGACCTCAATAAAGGTGGAATGCCGACAAATCCTTACAGCAATATTCCAACATCTAGTGTAAAGCCTTCCCAGAAGAGTACAGGCTGTTACTACAGCAAAGGGAAAACAAGCAGGAATCTGGACACTTCTGGACATACAGTGTAGATGGACAGATGGCATTAAGTAAGGAAGGTAGAGAGGTGGCAGAATGTTCTACCTGTCCATTCCAGAAGTCTTCTCCATTCCTGGTGGCTGGTCCATAGCGGTCATCATATTCCTCATATTCCTCATACTCTTCGTACTCTTTCACCAGGTACTCCGTCTCGTTATCCAGCTCATCGTACTCCACCAACTGAGGCAGAACACAACACCACAACACATTTCCTTCCAACAAAGAGTCATCAAGAACATTGGAAACCCAAAACAAATTAATTCAGCTCCATTTTAGTTCAGAAAATAAAAGCAGTGGTTCAGGAAATCTAATGTACATGGTTTTCCAGACACAGTCAGTCAGCCAAGACATGCTTGATGTCTAAATTAGCTTCTTAGCTTAAAAATGCTAGAAGTCAATAGTCACCCAAATCCTTTCTGTAAATATGTCTCTAAAACTGCTCAAACTGCTTCCAGATCTTCATTAATGTGATACAGTCTTGTAAATGTGGTTTAGGATGCAGTATGACTTTCTGTGAGCTATAAAAATCAAAGAGCTTCTAGTGTTTTCTTTGCAATGTTCTTTGCATCTTAGCTCAAGCACTTAGCTAAAGAAGCCAAATCTGGACAACAAACATGCCTTGGCTAATCGATTATGTCTGGGTCAACGGTCGCCAACATGCAGCTCTTTTACTGTCCTGTTGTGGCTCCACAGCAGAATCAGATCTGTAGGTAAAAATAAAATAATCCTCCTTTACAGTAAAATAAAGCTCTGCTGATCATTCAACACAGTTTAACAATAAATGGTCTTAAACTCTGGAGTTACTGTAGAACTGCTAATTCACCCTTTAACCCTGAAGATCAGCGCAGACTGCTGGTCACCATAGCAACACTGACAACGAAACGGCAAAGAGATTTAAGACGAACATTGATAATTTGGAGACTAATGGACTTATTAGCGTTTATAATCACTCCAGCTGGTTTCCTGATACGTTTAATCTGCAACGAGAAACTGACAAACACTAAAAGGTCATGAAGATGAAGTCAGTTTCTTATTCGCCAGCTTATTGTTCGAATTTTTCCGTTCCACCTTAAATGGTGCAGCAGTTACATTCTGGCCCCTCAGGCACCATTTAAGGTGGATTGGGAAAATTCGAACAAGAAGCTGGCGAACGAGAAGCGACTTCAGCCTCGTAAAAAATTGAACGTTAAGAGACATTTTACAAGAAACTGTTCTACTTTTGAGAGAAAGTTTCCTGCCAGAGATGCGAGAAAAGCAGCTACAGCTGAGCTACAGCTTGGAAAAAAATAATTTTTTGTTTTTTATAATATGTTAAATTCTGCAAATAAATAATTAGAAACAACTTTTGTATACAACTGTAAAACACTGAAGACATATTATTACAATATTTTAATATTAAATCAGTATTGGATATTACAGTACAGTTCAAAGGTTTAGAGCTTACCATTTTTAACAATTTCTGGTTTTACATATAATAATTGCTTATTTACATTTTGAAAACTATTCACCAAAACGTATTTTTAGATGTTCGTTTCAATATTTCAAGTTGTATAATTTACTGTAATCTTCTATTTACATACATTTTCTGTGAAATTATCTGCCTTGAAATTGAAATATGATAAATTCTGAACATTAATACGAACCTCATACTCTGTGATGTTGGAGCCAGCGGTAACCGTGGATACAGAGAGGTCACTGTAAAGGTCACTGTACAGGTCATCGTCGTAATCCTGCACAACCGGCTTCCTGGGTACTTTCTCCACCTGCACACAGATGGACACATCGTCAGGTCAACACAACGAACATACGGCAACAAGAAATACCACAAGATTCACCACATCAGCTCCACTGACCGTATAGTTTCACTCTGTAGTTCTACAGTTACAGACTGTAGTCCATCTGTTTCTCTGCATACTTTGTTAGCCCCCTTTTACCCTGTTCTTCAGTGGTCAGGACCCCCATGGACCCTCACAGAGCAGGTACTATTTGGGTGGTGGATCATTCTCAGCACTGCAGTAACACTGATGTGGTGGTGGTGTGTTAGTGTGTGTTGCGCTGGTCTGAGTGGATCAGACACAGCAGTGCTGCTGGAGTTTTTAAACACCTCAGTGTCGCTGCTGGACTGAGAATAGTCCACCAACCAAAAATATCCAGCCAACAGCGACCTGTGGGCAGCGTCCTGTGACCACCGATGAAGGACTAGAGGATGACCAACACAAACTGTGCAGCAGCAGATGAGCTATCGTCTCTGACTTTACATCTACAAGTGATAACTGACAAGGTAGGAGTGTCAGAGTGGACAGTGAGTGGACACAGTGTTTAAAACTCCAGCAGCACTGCTGTGTCTGATCCACTCATACCAGCACAACACACACTAACACACCACCACCACGTCAGTGTCCAGTGCTGAATGGGTAACCGGGAGAGTGGGGAGAGCCCCCGGTGAGCCGGAAGAGCTTTGGGCTGATTACTATGCTAGTCTGTGCGGCCGAACAAGTCGTCAGCGGGAAGCTACAGTATTAACTAAATAAATGCTACATCAAAGTGTGTATTTGTAGCAATTTAGGGGTTAAATCAGCCCCCCCACCTCAAGTGAGACCGCCGGGTCTGCTGACTATAACTGAATCTCATGCGGTTGACAGAGATTAGATGAAGCTGAAGTTAGCGTCTCATTTTCATTTATCAATCCATCTTAGATTTAAGATTTAGTAGTTATGTCCAGGCGCCTGGACGGCGCTAGCGTGCAACTGCTGCACAGATTAGCGAATCAAATTCAGCACCACTGTGTGAATCTGGCCTCAATATCATCCAGTCCGGTGCTTTAAAGAGTTTATTACATTTGCTTTAAGCCTTCAGTTCATTATCAGGCACCCGTTTTGAATCCGAAGCTCCAGTTGCAGTTAAAAGATGTAACTGGGGCTGTTTAAAAGCATATCTGTCCCTTAAAGTATGTCGTTTTCTATCTGCTCAAAGCTGAAAACAAACGAAAAACAACGTCGTCATTGATGATTTTCTGCTAAAGTTATACTTACAGTGCTTTTTTACTACAAGAGCTGACATGAGCTTTTTTTAAAAGGTCAAAGTAACTGTGTTGCGGTACAGGTGAGATATAAATGGACCATAAATGTGTTTCATACCATGACAATATGCAATGTGTAAGATTTAGCATCATCTAGTGGTGAGGTTTCAGATTGCAGCCAGCTGAATCTCCCTCCCTCACCCCTCCCTTTCCAAGCGTGTAGTAGAACCTATGGTGGCCGTCAGCTTGTCTGTCTTGATTTCGTTTTGCTCTTCTTTCTTTTCATGCTTTCCCTCACTTTTTCTTGTGCTAAATAATAAGTCTGATCCTCCATTTGTCAAATTTTGGGTTCTCAAACTTCTCACAACACAAAATGGTCAGCAGCACCGGCAGCGTCCACTGATCCTTCTTCTTTCTACGTCGTCTAACTGGAGCTACAGCACCACCAAATTCAAGCTGCTGTTTCAGTGTAAAAACCCGAAAGGCGCCCTCT